TGCAAACCTCCATCTTCAAACGTCTTTTTCGGGACGACAGTTCAGCCAGAGAAATGTCAAAGTCAATGTGGATAATGCATGTCGTTGGCACACCTCATTCTGGAGTGGAGACAATTCGCAAAGAGGCGCCTGCCCAAATATCTGAATAATCTTAACCCACACCCGACTCAATTGCGCTCATCGCATCACCTTCGGCGCCGTCGTCGCCACATGACGGCAAGACCATCGCGATCAGATAAGAGCTATTGTAGTACGGCAGCGCCTGCGAAGTCACGATGTGTGTGACCTGTTGGCTGTTCAGCATATTGCACCAATTGAAACGCAGCAATTACCGGCAAGTGGCAGCAATTGCGGTATGCATGGGCGCTGCAAAGAGAGTCCATCAGTCCGAGGGCTGTCCATTCTATGTATGGCATATCTCCAATCCCGGAATGCGACCTATTCTATGTATTTTCCTGGACTTTGGCCAGCTTGTTCTGCGGAAAAGCCGAAACAGGTTTGTGGTGGAATCATCAAACAACTTGTTCGCACCGCCGAGGTATTAGTGATCAGGCTGTCAAATGGACATGCCTTTGTGCCAAAGATACTCATTTCGTGCCAGGGTCAAAAAACAGCGCAGTTCTTTGTTGGCCCTAGCTTCGTTCTTGAATCTTAACCGCTCAGACCCTTGCCGACTCCCATGCCCATTCTTCCTAGCTTACTGCTGATTCAAACAAATCAGACACCCAAGGTCTCAAAGCCCACACTGAGGCATGACTGTGGACTGGCGGTAGAGGAAGCATGCTCAACGTCGCATTGTCTTGATCACACGGCTACAACAAAGACAAGAACAGTCAGTGTTCGAGTCTCCAGTCATGCGCGCACTGGTCGATACTCCATTGGGTTGTCTGTGGGCGGGAGAGGTTGCAGTTGCGCAAACATTTGGTCGAGTATGTTCCGGCCAAAGAAATGGACAACGTCTTGGTGTTTTTTGCCTGCAATGAAATAGGCGGATTGGCGGGTGTCACATCCCTATCCACTTTGAACCCAGCAGAGTACAGGTACCTGATCTAGGTATGCAGAGAATTTTCTTCAGGGCATGCCCACCCGCTGAAAGATCTGGTGTAACAAGGATGCTACCGCCCGTCATAGGACACAGTCGCCCCTAAGCCTCAACTGCCATCCACCCGTCCGTGCATCAACTGCAGCCACAGCAGCCGGGACACCTAGGCGATGAATCTGTTGACCAATTCAGCCAAGAAAGAGACACACGACGAAGAACGACGTATATTACGGAAGACTCTTTATGCTTATCGAAGTATCCCAAACACAAGGACGGCACGCAGCTCGAGGGAAAACAAAAGTGTCGATCACTATAATAAGAAAGACATATTTGTTTTTTTCGTTTTTTTAAGCGCAAAAGATCGAAAATCACGGGGTACCTACTATAGTACACTCGTTGAGTAAGGTACATATTACGCGCAATATGCTCAGACACTCAATCAATATGAATCCTAGGTAAGTAACGTTCAAAGCACCTTGTTTTACTGTGGCTCTCATTGTCCTAGGACCGGAGCTCAGTGACATTCTACTAAATCCATGGTTAATGTACAATCGAACGCTAGGTCTGATGAATGGCTTTCCTACAAAGTTTCAAAGTCTTACACTCTTTGTTACCTTGTGTCACCTATTACCACATAGGTACTTTACTTAAGAATAGCCAGCACCGGTATCATCAATACCTAGAAGCTTACTATAAACAGATTTATCTTATTGAAAGCCGACCCACATAATTCCCAGTGAAAGTAAGAAAAGCGCCAAACATCCCAGTCCTTCGCTTTACGTCGAAAATAGGAAAGCAGCTACTGTTCCGTTTGATTACTTTAATATATAGTAAGGTATATTAACTGAAGATCTATGTATAGTCATGTAAACAACACAAAATCTTGTATCTAGACTCAATTTCTTGGCGCCGCTACTAATAATATGCCGAATGATATCGTCTATGTCAAGCAGGAACCCTCTACAAAGATTCTTTCAGAGGGAAATCGTACCAATAAAAAAGTTTGTCAAAAGGTTGAGAGGAAGATTTCTCAGTGAAAACTTTCGGAACGGCAGGACCTGTACAGATCAATTTAAAGAAGGGCGCGATTTCGTTGATTTTAGCCAAGGCCAGCACAACCTGCATCACATCTTCAGAGTACGTATCGCTGTTGCGGGTACCGAGACCGTCAATAGTGCAGATCATCTATTTGTCGCGCTCGTTCAGCCGGGGTTCTGCCAGTTGAACTACCCTCAAGAACATCTCACATAATGCGAGGGATCCAATTTCCGGTATTTCCAGCATTGCCTTAAAGTCGGTATACATGTACTTGATATCGTCCGCGGAGAAGTAGTTCAAGTTTTTCTTGGAATATCTGGTGCAGGAGGGCCCGAATTATAGTGCTTCCCCTAAGGGGCCCGTCTTTTTCTATATGTAGGCCACAGAAGAAGATAAGGCCGACATTATGCTTGCTTCGAACGTCGTCGATCAACTTAGCGCAGAGTATTGAAAAGGGGGTGACAACATAGTCGTCAATCGAGACGTTCAGCTCAAGTTCATACACATGGACCCCGTATAATTGGTTCAAAGTGTAGCCAGAGAGATGGGTTCGGGGAGCGTTCATGATATCAAGCGACTTATCATAGAGAAAACGATTACGATCCGAACCCTTAACAAGCCAGTTTTGATTTTGACATTGATTGAAGATCCTGTCGACTAGCATTCGACCTGCTTCGTAGCCTTTGTCATCTTCGTAGCCGCCCAAACCGAGCTCAACGAATACACGTTCTTGGTTGTATCGTTCCTTCAAGGCAAGGTAGCATGTCCCTGTGTAACCATAATCAGGGGCAAGCAAGATTTGCAATGATGTGAAGTATTCCGCCTCGGTGGGCATGATGAGCAACCTCAAGATACTTTCTCCTATCGATTGAGTTAGGTTGACAGTATGACACAAGGTATAGGGGCCATCACACACCTTGTTGAGAAAGTTGAGACTACCAATAACTCCAATATTGGTACTTGAAATTGTGGCACGCTAGTTGCCGTTTTGTAGAAGGGTTTTTGGGAAAGAGCGTTTGTATGACTGATATAAGGGTGAATATGAGATAAGTCGAATGAAGACTGAGGGCTAAAGTCTCCGCAAGAAACAACTTTCACAAATTCAAAGCGTGATGAGGCAGACTTACTTTTCAAAGTGCGTCAGATTTGCTCTAAATAATGATAAGTATAAAGTTTGAATGTTTTCTTTGTATCAAAGCCAAGGTATGTGTACTTTGAATGTCATGGGTTCAAATCTGATCTAGTACTGCGTTCATTCACACCATTCAAAGCATGTTGTGATACATGGCGGCGATGTAAATCTTGGCTAGAAGGAATCTTTCCCTGCATGACACTCTTTACCAAAGTCCTTCCATGAGACGGTGGCAAAGTCTTCAAAATTCAAGGTAAAGAACGAACAAAGTCTTTGGTACGCCTTTCAATGTCATGCTCGGGCCTTTTTTTTTTTCTTTTTTTGCTTTTGTTTCGAATGTAATTTTGGCCATGTGAAGTAGAATACTGGGAAAAGGTTTGCTTGAAGCCTGGCGGTTAGAAGGTAATAATCACTCTTGCTGTGCTGCAGTCCAAATGGAGCCTTGTAAACAAAGATCGGATATGAGAGTATCCAAGCTGCAATACCACCTTTGTCATTAGCGTCTCTTAGCATGGAGTGTTTGGAGGCGGTAAGGAACAGATAAGGCCTCATGATTTTTGTTCTTTTTGTCTACAATGTTTGTCGGCGGTGAGTCGAAGATAAACTGCCATGAGACTTTTGCCTGCTCTCTTGAAAAGGTGGATCGACAGATGTTTGTTTCAGTACGTCCATGATGCACGTAGTTGGATCGATAGGACTGGAGAGATTGCATTTAGCTCCCCTGAAAATCAACCACCAAACACCAAGATCGCGTTTCTCTTTGTAGTTTGAACAGACCATCACAAATAGACCGCGTCGTATGTCTGGGTGCTCAACTTCATGATTACAGCACATTGGGGGAAGGGCAAGGTTCATGTCTGCGTTTCCGCCATAGTTCAGCGTCCGCGACCTTCTCGTTCAGAGGAGTTAATTACTAAATCACCACGCTAGTATTGGATGTATAGTTTCCAATGATTGGCTGAGCTTTGGACGTGTGAGAGTGGCGGAGTGGCTGTGATGAACAGTCTGGAGCTTGTGATAATACCATCCCTCCCCTCTCTGTCTAGTAAATGTTCAATCACTACACCGGCAACCGACCTTACAACCCGCCTGTAGGCGAACGGACTATTGCTGCCATTGCACACTTCTGACCACTATTCGTGATAACGCTAGGAATTGAAATCAAGTAATCCGGCTATTGGCAGCATACAGGTTGCAGCGCCTTAGCAATAGAGACGTTGGCTTGAGATGGATGCACTTACACCTAATTTCTCATTGGTGTAGCTACCTAGAATGATACTCCACGTAGCAAGAAGTGCCTTAGCGAAGGCCTCTTATTTGTTTTGCTCTCAGATATTTATGCATTCTCTTACGAATTCGAGATTAGGTTGGATTGAATTATCCAAGTACCCTTATTTAATTCTTTTGGCGGTAGTCACAAAATTAACACATGAATGGAGAGTCCTAATGCACATTCGCTGTCGATGGGGCAACGAATTAGTGGGGCAGTCGATGGTGGAGTGTCAACAGAGGTACCGGCATGTTCTTCTCTTGAAAGAGATCAAGAGATAGTATGGGGAACACTGGTTACTTTCCTTCTTTAATATATAGCACATCTGGAGAAACACTGTAGCAAATCAAGAATGTTCTAATTGATACGATTCTGTGGTCGATCAAATATGATGATCTGTTCAGGTCTTGAAATTTAGGATGTAAAGAAAGGAATTCTATGGACGAAACCCATCATGCTTGCCGAAATCGACCTTGAAGCACAGATTCTGGTGCCCTTCAGGACTTTTGAAACCCTCCTCAGGTCGAGGGTGCAGATGCCAGCAGTGGTAGTGCTAAATCAATAATTTGGCAAGTGTCTCCATTTGGGAAGAGTGCATCATCCCAGTCGCCTAGACGAGGACTCGTACAGATCAGTTGGAATGTCGGTACGTAGTCATTGCCAGTGTGACTTAGACGGACCATCTTCAGCAAGGTCTGTATGACCTTGGCCACTCCGGAAGAATCCTCTACATCACTGCGAGAACCCACACCATCAATGAAACAGACAATCCTTCGCTCTGGCTGCTCATGATCCTTCACTGGAGGGAGCGTCCGGATCACTATGTCGAGCATTCCACATAGTTGACCGAGATCATCTGTCTCAACTTCCTCGCGGAATTCGTGTCCGCCCGATATGACATCTTTGTATTCGATTATAAAGACGCGGATGTATTCAAAGATCTGGGCCAAGAGAGAGCGTATCATGAGCAGTCCTGTACTGACGCCGCGTTGATGTGGTTCCCGACCGCAATAGAAGACAAGACTGATGATATTCCGATACTCGTGATATTGTATGCCTTGACCGCGTCGCAACTCCTGTACCAGAGTGCTGCAGGCCACTGACAATGAAGTCACTCTGAGGCCATTGCACAAGGTCCAGATGCGATGGGTGTCATCAGAGTTCTGCGACTCTCTGGGAGCTTGTAGACAGAGAGAATTATCGTAAATGAACAAGCTACCCGGCTGCTCCTGTTTGACGAGATTGTTACAACAAGCCTTGGCTTTTGTGACAGGTGCTCCCTTCTGGAATTGGAAAGGAAAATGATTCGCAGTTGCGTTGATGTGCCCAGTATCAGCCGTTTCGTCAACACTTACATTTGGATTACGAAGAAGTCTTATCAAGTCGTCAAAGTATGCTTGACCTTCTTCGATGGTCCAAATTCGTGGATTTTTATCTTGATCAGCCATGATGCGTGATTGAGGGTATTCTCTTTTCTAGAACGGAGGTCATGAGCGGGACTTCTTGGTGATAGATATGAGCCAAGTGTCGTCAGGAATGCGGCTTACCAACGGATTTAAAACGAATCAAGAGATGGACCTCGACTTGATATCTCAACCCGAATCGAATAACCCAGAAAAGTGTCGCGAATACGCGCGGTAATCGCAGTAAAGAATAAGAAGTGAGAGTACGACGATCTACCCAGCAGATCAAGTTCTGTGTTAAGCAAGCTATGTAAAAGAGTGAGGAGATGACACCAAATCATAAAGCAATCCCCATACGGGCATTGGAGGTTTATATCAATTTTTTCTGAGCTTGCATTGGGACTTCTATATGTCAGGGTCCCAACTCTGAAGCTCTGAACATGTTCTTTACACCAGTGCAGACAGTAAATGACCCGTAAACCCTCCGTCCCTTGCTCTCGCATGAGATTTGAAATCTCGCATGAATTCTGAAAGACAACTGGCTTCATGGGGGCTTTCAAGCTTTCATGAAAGCTGTGATGAAGGAATGTTGATGCTGGTGATGCCCACTTAACGTTGCATCACCATGGATGACCTAGTCCAACGTAACATATGTAGCTTTCATCAACGCTTTACTGAACAGCGACCACATCATTGGTATTTCAGACCTTTGGTGACCATGACTGAACAGTATCATTGATGTAGCCACCTCAGAACCCATACCTAGCCGTTGACTTTGACCACGCGCAGTGTAGACAGAAACTGGGTAACAGCCAGCCGTGAGCAAGGAGGGTGCCAGAGACCGAAGTGGCTTGTGATTTCCGTCGGCCCCTCAAGCACGCTGATAGGTATTCGCATGCGAGAAATCGCGTCAAAGACCAGCAGGGGATCTGCATGCATCCAGAATTTACTTCCCTAGGATTGTGTGTCTTTCATCGAGTGTCTATGGAATGTGAGCCGGATGACAAGCTCATCGCGACATCGTTTCGTAGAAAGGCTCAACCAAAAACTGTTCAGATTACATGCACAAGGCACATGAGCTATGGAAATGACTGCATCTGAGCTAATCACCGGGTATAAGCTTTGCCTTATCTTTTGAACAGCCGTTCACCAATAGACTCCACTTCGGCATCAGAATCTCACATTCATCACCCCAACACAAAGAAAGTGGGTGTACACAAGTCTGCCCTACCGTGGTAGTTGAGCATCAGCAGATTTTTGTTTAGGGATGTTGATTACTCAATCACTTTGATGGTACGTAGGTACCCGAGAGCCGTTGAGCTTTGACCCTCGGTGGCCAAGTGGCCATGTTGGAACAGCTCGAAGCTTATCGTTTGTCGCGCTCTGCTTCCCATGATACCATCCCCTCTTTCTTTACATGTCCGCAGACTCGGCAGCGGCTCTCACTGATACACGTAGTACCGGTTTCATCGCCCACAAAGGCCTTTTGTTACAATGGCTTGGTGGCATGATCTACCTAATGAGCTTAAGAACCAAATTTGGGGCCATCTCCTCAAATGCGGCCGGGAAGAGAACCATCCATTGGCCTCTTACGCTTCCATCTCTTCCGAATGGCAGAAAATCATCGAACCCTTCGTCTTTGAAGAGATATACATCTCACTTCATTCCCAAAAGTCCACCGCTAGCCGACGAACAGTTCTCCGGGCCCGCAACATCCTAACCAAGACTCGCCAGAAAGTCCTCAAACGACTCCGTGTTCGTATCGACTATGATGCCACCAACACGTCCAAAAGCTACAGGAGGGCGTTTGCGGAGGTTGTAGTCTCCTTGTTCGACTTGTTGCAGACCTGGAGGACGGAAGATGCCAAGATCGGCCTGGAAATCGTCGAAGTCCGGCCCTGCGGTCCCCCGCTGCTCAAGTACGGACTAGAGCTCTTGCGGCAGCGAAAGTGGTCAATCGGTTGCGTGCGGTCGCTCCGCATCGTGAAACCACAATCTTACATTTCCCGCAGTACTGGGCCCGAGCTTGCCGACCTTATTTTGACTGGACTTGCGCCTGGTCTGGACACATTGGACTACAACTACGAAATCGGTTGCCGACCTGGATATAAGCACAAGCTTTGCCTAGTCACGGACTGGCAGATTGCGCCGGTCGAACTGAAGTCGCTCACTATCCGAGAATCCTGCGACCAGAGCAACTTGAACACGCAACATGATTGGATCGAATACATTCGCACGCATCAGGGCATCCCCGAGCAACTGTATCGTCAGAGCCGCGGGCTGGAGAACCTATGTGTCTCGTTTGCCATCGACGCTACTGACTTCTTTTCGCACATGATGGACCAGCCCAAGAACGAAGTCCCTTCCCTTCAGGACAGCGTCGCTGGCCCTGATTGGCCTGAACTACAGGTCATCAGTCTGACGTCTCATTCTATTTGGGACAAGGCACCCGAAATGACAAACAAGCTCCTGTTGTCAGCCGCGAGAGCTGCCCGACGGATGCCAAAGTTAAGAGTGATGGAGCTCTGGAACGCGCGGGAGCAATATATTATTTCGGCAGGCTGTTTCCGTTACTCCATTGAGAAAGGTGATACCCCAACTTTCACATGGGAGAGTACATGGGACTTCGAGATTGAAGAAGCGACAAAAGCGGCGTGGATAGATGCCGCCAAGTCACATTCTCCTGTTGGTCTGATTTTCGAAGTCCGAAAGGTTGCTGCTAAGCTACCGTGGCCCTTCTCACCTGCCCGGGCTCATGCGGATGCGTTTTCCTACCGCAATGCCTCTCAGTCTCTGGCTGGGTCAAGCACAGAAAACAGCTTGGGTCTGCACGTGGCTGATCTAGGGTTAAATTGAAAATTACTCCAATATGGAACTTCTTACGTTTATTGATCCTTAGTCTCGAGTGAGTACTTAGTTTGAGATTGTAGATGAAATCAGAATTTCATCCTTTGCCTGTTTGAATAACACCCATGACCAAGTTAATCCTACCCTCTTCATATTGATTACAAGCAACAAAGGGCACTCATCCAAAAGTGCCGGTTTCGCTGCAGACCACAATCCTACATAGTCACTCAGCATTACGATGACTTCAGTTGCCAAGACGACTCTGATCTCTACCACAAAGCAGAAGTTTGCATCAATGCCATCATTCCCAGCCGCGACGCAAGAGCTTCTAACCGACACTGAACGAGCGCGCCGCCGCATGGCACACGGAACTCTCAACTTCACTACTTTGCTTCCAAATGCCAAGGAACATCTTCGTGATTAACCTTTCAAGGTACTAGTCAACGACACTAAGGGCAGCCACAACGGCTCATGGTCACCGTCTCTCGCCAGGTCGGTAGTCTTCGCTCAGATTTAGATCAGCCACAGTCGCGCTAAGCGGGAGATGTTGGGGGCCTCCAGCTGGCATTGTCTTGGTTGTTCTGGACCGTGCTGTCCCGTTGCCGCAGTCGCGCTCGATACGAACGTCTGTTCCCGCGTCATGAGCGGCCTTTTCCGTGTTTGTCTGGTTTGTGATGTTATATTGAAGGGTTGCATATCGGTCGGGGTTTCGCTGGTTGATGCTGGTCGTCAATTAAGGTAAGCAGGGGTTTCTTGCCGATCATATCGGTACTTGCGTATTGGCCACGTCCCAGCAGGGGTACATTAGTGCTTGGGGGTGCTCTTGAGATCCGCGAGCTTAATGGTTCCTAGAATAACCGTAATACCGGGGTAGACAAAGTGCCAAGTCACCGAGTCGCAGGTAGGCCCGCGATGCGAAGTAGTGCCGACAGAGAAGCTAAGGGAGTTCGATCAAAGTCAGAAACAATGTTTCTGTCTGTCATGGAACATTGGGTTCTTGGGAGTGACGTCAGTCTACTGATCTAGAGACACTAGGGAGAAGGGGCACAAGTCAAATGCAAACCGACAGACTATACTCAGAGTTGCATAACCCAGAACTGGAGGCTCCGGTAGCTTATTTCTAGACAGCGGTGTGAGTTCTCGTCCATGGTTGCGCGGGAACATGATTGAGGTGAGCTTATCGCCCACGGACGATTTTGGTGATTCCGTCCTCTTCAACATAAAACGCACGGCCAAGTATACCTGAAAGCCGCGGGCTATGAAAAATGCCCAAAATGGGCGTTAGCGGGAGGCTTCGGTGGGCTTTCGACGGCGCCGTCGACATCGATGCGCCGCGCTACTGCAGGTCCTTGGCAAACATGAGCCTCTAAACATTCAACTTAACAGCACTACTTCGGGAATGAGCCAGGCAAGCCAGGGGTGACCGCGGAAGAGCTCAGGACCTCAGCGGTGAGGCTCTCATGTAAGTTACCTAGCTGCACGTTTCCACGCCCTCGGACCATTCACTACAGCAAACATAACGCCCGGCGCCCATTCCGGCTCGGAGTCGAATTCTTCCCCGTCAGTTATGCAGCGTGCCGTCCTAAGCTCCGGAGGAGGGACAAGACGTATTCCCACTTTTTCTTATCCCACTAATGAAAGGGGGCACTCAGATGCTTTTTTCAATGTCTCGTTTGCTGCTAAACCATCTAAGCTTGTTTGGACACAGGACTAATGACGGCGACACGCATGTTATCAACCCTAAGACGTCGAGGTTTGAGGGCCGTTTGCTTTTCTCGTTGGTTGCCGAGGCGCTACTAGACCCGTCTTCCCCTTGCATAGTGTGTCCTATCTTCCCTAAGGTTTGCATACCACGCGGCGAGGGAGCTTGAGCTAGGGACGATCGGAGGAATATAAGATAGATGTGTTGGTCTCCGACTTTTGAAAACAAGAAGAGATGACAAGCCACACAGAGTAACATCTTCATTCTTCATTCATTCACTTGCTCACAGGTCTCTTGTCGTTTTCGACCACGAGTTTCACAGTCACTACAACACTACACTCACCCACTCTTTCCAAGATGAAGTGCTACATTGTTGCTGCTTTCGCCGCCGCGGCTGCGGCCCTGCCCGAGGTTGCCAACCTTGCCGGCCGTCAGAATGGCTGCAACGCCGATAACTGCCTCCGCGCCGTGCGGGCAACTCGCTTCGGAACGGCCACCATGGAGCTTCGCATGGCAGAATGCAGCTCGTTCCTTGCCGTGACCCAGATTCCGGCCACGTCGTAAGCTTCATCAAGTAGTATCACTCCAATCAGAAAAGCTGACCAATCTGCCACAGCACCGTCTACATCACTGAGAGCAGCATTCAGACCATCACAGCCAACTCTACCAAGACCATCTACCAGCGTCAGGCTGCCGAGACTCCCATCTCCGCCACCAAGGCCATCCCGGCCTACGCCTCCGCCTGCGTCGATGAGAGGCGCTACAGCTCCGCCTGCTCTTGCTTCGGCGCCTCCGCGGCCACCACCACCGCTCCGACCCCTATCGTCACCTCGACCGTCACCTTCGTCTCCACCACCACCCTCGCCCCCTTTGTCAACGTCACCCGTCCGGCTCTCGAGTGCAGCAACACCTGGAACTGCGGCGACCGCGTCATCCCCGTGTGCTCCAGCGAGACCGGCTGTGTCTGCTTCCAGACCGTCGAGGGCCGCAAGGTCTGCGCCCAGCCCAACGACTGCAGCCCCTCGTGCGACACCACCAACGACTGCAGCAACGGCGAGGTCTGCATCAAGCAGAGCTGCTGCTCCGGCGGCACCTGCATGAAGGTCGACGTCTGCCTCAACCAGGCCTTGCCCAAGATGATGTTCAAGAGACGCAATGCCGCGTGGGTCAAGAAGGAGGCTCGCGGTGACCTTCAGCACCTCAGCTTGGTACCCCACGATGCTGACATCGAGAAGCTTGCCTAAGTTCTGTTTGCCATGCGCAACAAATTGGGGAGATTGATTGGGTGATTCAGGAGATGTTTGGCACACCCTTGTACATACACGAGAAAACGAAATACCCTTCATAGACTTGCAGTTACCGAAAAACTCTGTTTTCGCCCGCACTGGCGGCCTTGGAGTTGCTTATTCCTCGTAAATGATCAAGACACATTTTGACTCAACAGTTTCTGCCGCCACTCAAGCTTTCAACCATAAATTTGTGACATGCAGTTAGGGTATCGTAAAGATAAGCTCGGATCAGATCCGGTTTGTAGGGCTTGGGGGATCCATCCCCTTTCATTTCCTTTGAGAAAAGAAACGTTTGCCTTGGCTCGGTTCCTTAAGATTTCACACGTGGCTTTCTTATTCGCAAATGTGCTGGGAGAGGAAGTGATCGTCCGCGGCGACATCCGTGGGCAGGGGAGTTTCCTTCAGTGTTTGTTCTTCATCTAAATCTGCTTGATGTGCATAGGAGGCTGCATTAATTAGATTTGAAGTATGCATACCTAGTATCAGTATGTTCCAACATAAAGTATCGTTCAATCAACCTCGATGTTGCCATCTTTCGCCTGGATGTTGCAATCGCTACAGGCACTGCATTGTTTGTGTTCGAGCTGCATAATCATGAATTGTAGCGTGTCTGTATAATTGTTGTTTCTCGACAAACTGCCCTTCAAGCAATGTTTAGGTGGCCTTCTACTTTGGGAGAAGTTCTGCTTTCCAGCTCCCTTGCATTGTCGAAAACATGGAAGCCTGCAGATGCCACTCTATCTCCAGGGTGACACCACATAGCCAAGAACCAATAGTTGTAATCCAATCAGTCTGCCAAGTTAAGTGTTATTGAAATTGCCTCACAGGATGCTGCCTGATATGTCTTGGGCATAGTCACATCTTTCAGAAGTAAACCGTCGAGTCAATCTTTTCGTGCGTAAGACTAGAAATCCGCGAGCTTGGAGAGACGGTACAAGGGGTGAAATGGGTCGATTGAGTTTCAATTCACCTTTTCCGCATAGCTCTCTGGCTTGGGTCTTTCAAATGCATCTTGACGTATTGAGTGCGTTATTGGCAACCGAGTCTCAAACGGCCGAATCATCCTGTCTTCCTCGACTACTAAGCACAGTACTTAGATTAGTAGCTAATCCAAGCGTCGAGCTTTCCCCAATATCCCGCTTCATAATTGCTCGAGATTTCTAGGTGTTGCAATACCAGCTGGTCGGTGACTAGTTTCTCCTGGAGTCGATGAATGGAGGAGCACCGCACATTTGCTACATGTGACAACTTTTAAAAAGAAAACTAGGTGATTATCGTATTCCCAGACCTAAGGATCATACCTACGTCATGTCATTTGCACTAAGGCATTTCATGAGATGCTGAGAGTATGATGAAAGTCAACACTCGTCGACCGTATCAAGGTCTAGCCCAGAAACTCAAGCATATGTATCCCCACTTTGTCCGTCAAGAAGTTGAACTGTTCACCTCGTAGATTTACGTGGACTTATTTAGTAAGCTTTCAACCCCTTTTCACGTCACGCAGGGCACAACAACCCTCGTAGCCTATCCCTTAATATACTATCTCCTCTTCATTCCGCTCATGGCAACCCCACAAGAGCCAATGAAGACCCTATGAAGCACTGTAATCTTCGTTGCCCAAGTTTTCTCCGTTCTTTTATATTGCCAAATGAGTAAGACTTGATTTTCTCTGGGATGCCTAAAAGCATTCTCAGGCTCTAAGACTTATTCCTACATGTATGTATTAGTCTCACATGTGCCTCTCTCATGCCGGGACGTGATGCTGCAAAAGGTCTGCCGCCCGGCGCTAGACATGGGGGGGATGCAAACATTAGATGTTCAACACCAACACGATGTCGAAGTGACGCAAGAGGCCCTTTATTCTCCATCTTTTTATGCAATGGTGACCACTTTCTTCTGAAATTGCATCAATCAAGATGTGACCCCGATTCATCAGTAAAACCCCGCACTGATGCGGAAGAATGGCCTACTGGATTCCCCATCCTTCTTGATGGATTTGAGAAACTACACCCTTTACGTCAACGGTTTTTGATTGCAACTCCAGCTCACCATACCTATATCAACATTAGAACTTCTTTAATCAAAAAACATTTGTCGTGGGAATGCTTGTTCTTGTGGCTGGCGCAACTGGCAATATCGGCCAAAGACTGGTCGACGCCCTACACGCTCGAGGGCATCAAGTTCGTGGTTTAGGTCGTAACCCCGCGAAACTCACAGATGCCCGACGAGCCAAGTTGGAGGGTTTCGTCGTTACCAAGACTCACTATGACATTGAGGCCCTCGATCACGGCTGCAAAGGAGCCGACGCAGTCATCTGTGCCTATGGAGTGTTCCCGACTGAGCTACAATTCGATGGGCAGCTTCTCTTGCTCCGGGCCGCTGAGCGCGCCAACATTCGCCGATTTGTCCTCTCTACGTGGAACAATGATTGGAGTCGCGATCCACTAGGCATGCATGAGAGCTACGATCCTTTCATCGCATTCCGTCGGATTGCCGAGATCAGCTCGCCCATCAGGCCGATATACATCTTCACAGGCGTCTTAGCTGAGGTGTTTTGGGTGTTTCCTGATCACCCCTATGGAGCTGTCGAGCTGAACGGCTACTGGGACGGTAGAGACAAGTCCATGAGTTTCTGGGGTGATGGAAATAAGCCATTTCCATGGACCACGGAGCGGGACGCGGCGGAGTTCACTGCTGCGATTGTTTCTAGAGACGATGCTGAGGAGGGCGGATGCTGGGATACAGTTTCCGGTATCCATTCAGTCAGGGAGCTTGCTGCTGCTTACGAAAGGGTGAAGGGAAAACAGGTCAGCTTTAAAATCAGGGGGACTGATGAAGACCTTAAAACTCTTGCATTTGAGGCTCGAAAGGCAGCTACACCGAGACAATTCTTCCAGTACATGTCGTACTTTTACCAACTCTATACAAACAACGGCACATGGGATATGGCGAAAGTCGACAACGATAAGCTGGATGTTCGAGCCACGTCTCTCGAAGACTTTTTACGAGACAACGAAATATAATCATGCCAGCCGCATCGGCTTTGCACTTTGAAGACTTGCAGATACAAATCATCAAAGTTCCATGCTGTGATTCACGCGTCGCTTTATATTTGGCTTTAGCATCAACCATCTCTACCAATTGAGATGTGGAAATTACAAGTCATGACAGTGTACATGTGCAACAGTCATGTTTATCCCAAGCACTGATTTTGTCTAATCCCTCTTGTCTAATTCTGACTTGTTCGACCTTCCATATTTGGGACCAGAAGCATTTCAAAGCTTCCACGCAAGCAATCCGCCTACGCAACTGTTGATAGCAGTCACGTTTGAGTTGGAAAACTTTTGGTTCATGTCACCAAATGGGTCATATGCGATTTGAATAAAGTCTAGCCTCGCAGTCCGATTTTCAGACCAATCTCATGATATCGCACTTAGAAACCTGAGTTACGGATGACGTGATTTTGGCCGAAGTGTTCGCTATCGTTCCAACGGCATTCGTCGAATGGGCGATTTATGGTGCATTCGAGTTGAGCTTACACTGTAAGGACGAACTCAGTCTTGCGCGAAATGAGAGCCCAAAGCTGTCACACAATGCGGGGTCTATGCGCGCGCCAACAGGCACTCAAAGATGTGTGACAAACACGAAATGTTACTGCAGCACGTAATCCATCTCTTCCTTGTGCATATAAGTTGGTAAGTAGGTAGGCGGCATCTAAATCTACACTCGGTATTTGTTTCCGCTTTGGTGACACCGAAAGGCTACGCCACCTCCGGGTGTCCCGGTGGTGGGGATTTACCCTTTCAAGCTTAGCAATCAAGATTCATCGTGAAGAATGTCGCAGATGGCGCCTTCAATTGCGTTCGACTGCTGTGTGCGCTTAGCAATCGCTCGGAATAATAGCGTTTAGGTGCACGATCAATCTCCCCGATAGTCTAAATCCGAGTCGAAGCAGAGATACTTAAGGCCATCAGACATCTCGTCAAGTAAGAGCAAAGCAGTCTCATTAACATATCAGATCTTACTACCGGTATTCACAAACTACCGTACCAAATCAACAAGCTCCTACAACTCACAGCACTGCTATTGGCCATACTTCCAATATCACGAGCATCCACAATCGTCCGATTTCCACGATGTCACACCCCGCCGCGGTCCAACTCGAACCCAAAGCCCCGCTCACTGTGCAAGATGTGACCACTGAGCAGCCTGGGCCCCACAAAATCCTCATTAAGAACGAGCTAGTCGCCCTTAACCCCATTGACGCCAAAATCGCAAAGCTCGCCATCTTTCCCATCCCATACCCCGCCATCCACGGCTCATCTTATGGAGGTACCGTAGCGGCCGTCGGCTCCGAAGTCACCGGCTTCAAGGTCGGCGACAAAGTAGCTGCCGTCAAAACGGGTGGTGCAAACGGTAACAAGTACAGCGCCTTCCAAAAGCAAGTAGTGTCGCGAGATGTCACTGCGATCAAGGTTCCAAGCAGCGTCGACCTACACACCCCCGTCGGTCTGCTAGGCAACTTCAGTACCATCGTTGGCTTATTCAACGAGCACTTAGGCCTAGACAGGCCCGATCCGGCCAACAAGCTGCCCTCCAAGGGCAAGAAGATCTTGGTTTACGGCGGCACATCTAGCTTTGGCAGCTTTGCGACACAATATGTGTCTCAGTCTGGATACGATGCTGTCACCACCACATCCCCACAGCACAAGGACTTTGTAGCCAAGTTGGGTGCCGTTCACGTCGTCGACCACACTCAATCACAAGACGCTGTTATCAAAGAACTCGTTGCTCAAGGGCCTTACGAATATGTCGTGGACTCCATCTCACTGAAACCGACATTTGCTATCACCACCGCAGTCCTGGCTGCTCAGGGCGGAGGAAAGGTGTATGCGTTGTTACCTCCCACTGATCCAGAGAGTGTTCCCAAGGAAGTCACCGTTAGTTTCGGGTCTTGGTCGGCACCACTCGCAGAAGAGAAAAACGCCGGTCTGTTAAAGTGGTCCTTTGAGACATACTTTGCTCAGGCCATCGCTGCAAACAAGATTGTCGGCTTGCCATCTCAGAAGATTGATGGATTGGATGGCCTGAACAAGGCTGTGGATGTGCTGTTTAAGGGGGTCAGTGGATTAAAGGTTGTCGTGGAGCCATGAATACAAATTGGAAGGCCGATTGTGGGATAAGGTTCTGGCGATGGGCTGTTTGGTTGGATACTTGGCTAGGAAGGAAAACGGGGCATAATGAATGCCATGGTAATCAAATACTTAACCTTGAAGCAACTTTCAAAATAAGTGAAATCCTCAAGCATCTAGCTTCGTTGATTCGTGTATGGTATTCGGTTTCCTCCTCGGCCCCAGAACACAACGCCCATCCTGAGATTGTCGTGGTACGTTTGTGAACCAACAACGATCAACGTCAAAACCCCCGCCGCGGGCGGCAATAGCATGTACAAGACTGATATTACATACACATGGATTACTCCTCCCTCCATTGACAAAACGCGACTTCTGCACACCCGCACTGGTTCTTCCGAGCGCGCAGCTCAAAGTTGTCTACGATTGCTCAACCAGGTGAAGATTGTTTATCGCGGGGCCCAAACTTCCTGAGTTTGGTCGCAAATCACACACTATTCAAGCCGGGGGAGCTGCTGGAGCTTCTGCCGGAGGAGCAGCGGGCGCTTCGGCTGGAGGTGCTGCCGCAGGATCCTGAGCCGGGTTTGCCGGTGTCGCGGGTGTCGCTGCCGGTGCAGCCGGTGCAGCTGGAGCCGCCGGGGCTGCAGCGGGAGCACCGCCAGCGCCGCCTCCCGGAGGACCGCCACCGCCAGCTCCCTGGGCCGGTGCTGGGACAAAGGCGGCATTTGCGAGGGGAATCTGTCCAACGGCCCCGCCACTCACTGTGGTTCCGTCGACGTTTGCTTTCGCGGCAGCAGCTAACTTCGAGTACTGGACGACTTGGTTCGCATTGGTGCTATTCACTGATGTTAGCAGAAACTCACATATCCAATCTGTCTCTGCAACGTACGGGTTGATGACCAGGACCTGTCCCTCTTGACAATGAGGTCCGGTGGCGCAGTATAGGAACATTGGATCAGCACTCGTAATCGGCATGTTGAACGTTCCAACCATAGCCTGTCCGTCCTTGAAGGGCACATGACCGCTGTGGATAGCCGTCGGAACCTGAGCTTGAAGAGGTTGGCATGCGGCGCCTTCGGCACTTTGCGTCACAGTGTGGTTGCCATTGCTGAACTGGAACTGAACGACGTCGCCGACCTGAGCCATGATCAAGTTCGGGACGAATGTATCCTGCGCTCCCCCAACCACCACCGGGATGAGTTGATTGCCTTGAGGGGTCGCTGGTGCGGCGGCTTGTCTTCGGACTATGGTTCCGTCATTAGAAAGCGAAAAACAAAGTTTGAAAGGCGTAGAAGACTCACTCCTGAATGGGCGATGGGGAACACCTCCCACAACAGTACCGTCAGCCGGGAAAGGATCTCTTTTGGAGACTGGTTGAGGCATGGCAGTGACCGTGGCGGCTGCCACAAGGGCCCAAGCCGAAGAGACTCTCATACTGGGCGGTGAAAGAGAAGTATTGAAAGTAAAATTCTTGAAATGAATGAAGCGAACACTGCTCAGCAGTGAATTTCCCCTATTGATTAAAATGCGTAAATGACTGGAAATGCCGGTGTCGACAGAAATCACGGCCAGACCTCACTAGGAGGAATTTTGACTAAAGGGAACCTGAAGGAAAGAGAAAGGAATGGGAATGGAGACAGAACTTAGAGTTCGAGTAAGTCTAAATTTTGAATTAGATTAGCACCGGCTGTAGTACATATTTGCCATCGGAATACCCGCGAAGCCAAGACACGAGAAGCTCTTGTCCGGGGCTTTAGGGGGCTTTACTAATGATGATGAAGTGCCGAGAGATAGTGGAGGTGAGGGGCAGAATGCGAAGGTTCAAGACACTCCAAGACGTTGACCAGCGCAACCAGACTTTTTTTTTTTCCAACTGGCGATGCTGGGCATCGTTGAGGCTCGTGCTGCCAAGCTGTCTGATGATGTTCCGTGATGGTTTGAGGCTCTTTAAGACGATACCTCTTTGGGAAGTCAGAGCCTCACAGGGAGGGTGACGATCTAGCGGGAGATCATGTCGATTGGATCGTCGCCGTCTGTTCTCCCCACCGAGGATCATGGGATGGCGTAAGTCTGTGTTTCCGAGTTGAGATGTCAGTGGGGCCGGAGTGGGCGCATGGAGCCGGTAGGGGGCGCCATTCGGTAGCTTTCCAGGTTTCATCTCGCCTTCAGGTCACCCCATTCACCGTTGACAAGTTCTTTTCTACCCTCCCTTCGGACTTTTCTGTAACGGACATCCCAAGAGTTCTCAAGGTTGTCTACTCCACTACTGGACTTTGCGACGGCTTGTCATGGCTTGTCAGTGTGTAAGTGACAGGCCTTTGACATCCTTCACCGTCCAGGACAGGTCAATGGTTCGGCAGTAAGCGTCGGCAGGGCGCCAAAAGGCCTCACTGTCCCGCTTAGTCAGGCCACAACGCTGGGCGAAACGAAGACTAGATGAGACGAAGAACCTTTTATTCGGCGTTATCCCGAAGAGCGCGCGCGCTTCGGCCGTATTGAAATGCCCGCGGGCTCCCTTATCGAAAGTTGAAAACATCGACGGGACCCCGAGTACATCACTTTGGACGATCGACGCTGAAGCCGTATCAGTTTCTTCTGCTCTTTCGCACGCTCAGTGCTATAGCCTGTCACAGCCACGAGGCCGCGTCGAGATTACGTCCTCACCTCTGAGGTGCGACGGCTTGTCCATAGCCAAGAGAGGCTTTGCGCTGATGACTCAAATACGAGTCTACAAACACTTCAGAGCTGCCATCTCACCTTTGAGAACTCTTGCGCCATCGCAACAGCCCCACCTGCCCTGATTTGCCAAGTCAACTTGGACCTGTCGGACTTAGTTGAGCAACTCGAAACTCGGATTGTCGTCGCTCGGCCTTTGTTTCCTCAACACCAATGTCCATGCTTTTCGCTGACGAGGAGACCCCTGGGCACCATGGTTTTTTCGCAGAATGTCCGGACCTCAGCCCTAGCGTATGAGCATTGTCTCCAACAGCCGGTCCAACGGGGAAGGGTGATGTGAGCCAGTGACGAGCTGCGACTTCATGAGACACGTGGTTTGTAAGCTGCCTGACTCCGCCTTAGCTTGGATCAGGCATTCTGATTCCGGTACGATCCGATCTCCAACGTGAGCCCGCAGGCCTATCGGCGTCATCTGCCAAAAAAAAAAAAAAAAAAAAAACACAGCTGCCATGTCTTGATAGACGGCCGCATCAATGGAACTGTCAGCACCAGGAGATGCGGCAACTAAGAACACATGTAATGAACAAAATATCGAAACAACACCAACAGCAGTTGTCATGGTTGCTTTATCAAATCTCCGAACTGCTGTGTAGGGATTATGTGAACTATGGCAATCATTTTGTTCTTGCCTTTGGTAGGATCGACGATCTTTGAAAGTCGATTGAAATATTGCGCTATGTTGCCAATAGCTATTGACGATGGTGCTGCTTCGTGAGTCTTTGAATCTGGAATTAGTATTCCACGCATACATCATTGCTGGGATGTAAAGAGATCCGCATGCCGCGCCCTCCGGACGAGAAGCGTGCTTGGGGCTATACGAGAGTCGCATACAAGACGAAGAAATGCTTGGCACACGAAGCCGAAGGTGTCGCATGTCCGGATGGTGGGGGTGGAGCCTTTTCTGCATTCAGTCCAACTGTGACGTTGAGTTCACATTTTTGCGCTTTCCTTCAGACATCATAAGCCATGCCGCATCTTATTTCATCTCAACCAGCGGTTTTGTGCGATGAACATCTTCTGATTCTTCGACAATAAAGAAAGAGAGTGGATGCAAACCTCCGGGAGCATGAGCATCAGTCCTCAAGTGAAAACAAATGTGGGGAATGCCGCCCAGGATGACCTCAACGTTACATATGTGCACAAGTAGTGAGGGAGATGAATCTCTTTTTTCTCATTTGTTTGGATTATTTTAGACTGCTTTATCACTTTAGCCCAGAGAATGGACTTGCGAGCGGAGACTATTAAACATACAAGTTCCAGTGGCAACAAGCTACACCCATAAGTCAACGACATACCGTTACTGATGGAGGTTGATTCGGAGTTATTACAATTTTTGAAATGACTTCAATGATCTTTCACTCACACATGGCGAGAGGACTTGGTGAGAATATTGATTTATACTTGGTAATAGCGGGCCCTGGGCACTGATTGAGTGAATCTGGAAGTCATCGTGAGCCGGGGGTCGTACAAACCGTGATCATCAAATAGCTAACAGATTCACCGTGTAAGCTCCTTCGCACATAGTTCCAACGTTCTCTACTACGATAGCACCTCATATTCCTATTCAACAATACGAGGTACGTGTTGACTGATTGAGATTCACGCCTTACAGAACTTTCTCCAAGTTTGGGACAGGACTATGAGAAAGTCGAATAAGAGGTTTTAATTCAGATGTCTAATTGCTCTGACGGAGGTTGAGATTCATCAACTCGCGACTATGAACTTAGCCCAAAAAGTGAACATTTATCTTTGCGGCCTGACAAGACGATGTAAGGTTATTCTTGAGTTCGCATTCCCTCCTTAGCCCATCTTCCCTGGATTCAAGTTCAGTCTTGTCTTGGTCTTAGTCCAAGCCTCTAACAGGCCATCAACCTTCTTGATATTCTCGTGCCCGGCCGCCTTGGTAGCCTCGTATGCTAGGCGATAGTCGTGGATAGACTCGGTGAACAAGGGACGACGATGCTTCCACCCAGTCAGCTTAGTCAACTTTGTGGAGTCTGTCCACTGGGGAAAGTTGATGATGCCCGGCGGCCACGTCTCCCCTTCTTTCGCATCCGCCTCGTCAATGTATCTAAGTCCAATCTTGATTTGGTACTCCTTAACCAGTGCTTGCGCAACCTTGTCAAGCGTCTCGTAGCTCTGGGCCGAGATGTTGAACGCTTGGCCGTCAATCTCGGCTACGTTTGAGTGAGAGGCGATGGCAACGTAGGCGTCTCCGCAGTCGTCGACATGGAGAGCATGCAGGATTGTGGTGGGCGGAGCGGTCAAGATGAGCGGCTTCCCCTCGGCGGCGGCCTTGGAAGCGACATTGAAGAAGGCTTGGTAGTAGCTAGAGGCACGTCCGTAGACGTTTGTAGGTCGAACGAGAACCGGAGTGAAAACGTCGCTGTGTTCAACGATTTTCTGTGCGTACGTGGCTCGGTTGGTGAGCATGGGAACTGTCCCGATGGGTGACTCCTCCGTGTGTGGGGCCAGGTCCGGGGCTCCGTCGAAGTGCGGACCGATGCCGTAGTCCTTGCATCCAGAAGTGAAGATGACAATTGACTTTGTGCCGGCCAACAAACTTGCGGCTCCGAGGGTACGGAGCAACTTGATGGTGTTCTGATAGTGCGGGATGTAGTCCATCATGTTCTCCGTGGTTGAGACAATAGCATCGAGCTTTGCTGGAAGATGGCTTTGGATGTTGGCGTGCGCGTCGAGGTCATCAATGGCTCCGATGATAGGAACGATCTCCTCTTGAGCTAGACTTGTTGCCGCCGAAAGAGACCTGACAAGACCGTAGGTGGTCCATCCAGCGGCCACAAAGCAGCGGGCTACGGCATTGCCAATGTAGCCGTTTGCGCCAGTGATAAAAACAGTTTTGGGTGCTATGTTGATTACCTGGTTTGATTTCGATGCTCTCCGTCTCGTCATCTTGAGATCTTGAATGATGTGCTATTTATTTGTAGTTGTCTTCTTCGATCCTAACATTTTTTATTTGTAGTCTTGCCTCTAGACTTGATTGTCTCGCCTGCGGCCCTGGGCCCAGAGTGCAGATCGGGCGGTACAAGGTAAAGGCGGAAAATATTTAGCGGTGAACCGGTGGGATAAGTGACTAAAGACGGCGCAACTCATGGCCGACGAAAATGCTCATTTGTCATAGGGAACCGGCCCCCAGTGGAAAATTGCTTTGTGCCATTATGATTTATTCCAGCTAATGTAGCGTATTGCCGAGGGAGGTGGTTTTAGTTCGTCGCCGTCCGTTCTTTATCTCGGTGTAGCATTTCGTTTGATATATTCTCACAAGTTATAGTGAAGACTTCTGACGTATTGCGCCTCTCAGTATGGGCCACAATGCAGCGGACGAGTTCATGCACCCAGGAAGTCAGTCGTTTCAGTTGATTCGTGATAGCTGCGAATGATTCAAGTCGCAGCGACATAGCCGTCAAGAGATGGATTAGTCAATGGGTCGCCCTTGTGTTGATATCGCTTGGTGATAACGTTATAAAGGACCTCCGAGAACGGATGCCTGATTGCTAAGCATCTAGCGATGAAGTATTGACGCGATTAGTACATGAAGTGATGTGGCTAGTCCAGTCTGAGTCCGTTGAAATTCCTTAGATAATCCCCGGGTTTCTGCAAATCAAGGAGGATGGACTACTCAAATGCGGCTCATCGAAGAAGCAATGCTCCGACCAGGCAACATACATCGGGTCCGTATCAACGCACTGTCCGGCCGTCTTGAGCCGATCCGGCCCCACTCCGGTCAAACTTCACCGAACACACTCACCGAGACCAGTTTCTCACCAAGGACAACTAACCTTAGGCAAGGCAAATTTCTATACAAGGACTTTTTGTTGGCGCGCTCTCCGCCTGAATAAACTCTATCAGTTGTACCATTTGTAGTCGTTCTCCAGCCTCGTGCAAGAATCGCTTGACGGAGCACGTAATCGCGGCCGGGCAAGAAAGTGTATTTGAGTAGGTGACACCCGGCAAGATGCCGTCTCCCGCTCGCCCTCTCTTGGCACCGGGAAATAGAGCATCTGCGCAGTTCAATCTGATGAGATCGAAAAGCTTCCGCTATCCAATAAAGTTCAAGGCGTTCTTACAACTTCTCACGTAAGCGTCAAAGGTGGATATATCATAATGATAGCCGCCCAACCTGCAGCGGTCCCTGGCGGCCCCTCCCGAAGTCTCCACTAGACATGGTTATCTTGACAGCTCGGCGCAACTCCGTTATAATTCTCGCATGCACGTGGTCATTTTACGTACTGATGGGCCAAGAACGAGCTTGCCATCGTACTTAATTAACCTTGACAGATTAACTCAAGGGTTCATCAAAATGATTACCATTAACTACTGGGACTAGGGGACACTCCACGTGGCTCGTTCTGCACGAAGCCCAATTCATCTTGGTGTTTCATGCAGGGTCCAAACAACAGTGCGAGTCATCTGAGTTGGCCAAGACAGCCAACATCATTGCACATACCGCCCTGGATCAGACTTATTGAGAAAGGTGTAGGAGACTCATGATACTCATCTTCGACACGTCAGCTTCCAAAGTAGCCACGCCTTGTAGTACTTGAGCTACCACATCTAGGATGCCTCGAGTCGGCAGCTCACAAAGGAAACAACATACGACCAAAAGTTCTCTCAGTGGAATCCTAGACTTCAGGGTATCACAACGACTGTTGTGGAACAGCCCTGACATGGCGGAGAAGTCCGTTATGGATGTAATTCCCTCAACTCATCCAGGGGCTGGTAGGCGGGGTATAGTGATTTCGGTGCGACTTTACTAAACTTATGCTCAAGCTACACGCACACACTGTCTTTGTTCAACTTTTGTATTACCAGGCTTTGGGTCTTTCATAATTGTGAGGCATTTTCGTTGTTGTTATGAACTATTCCAAGGTGTCACAGGCAGCACATCATGAGATGCCACAGCAAGCTCCGCAGTGATTGAGATGAGGAGGTCTTCAGCAAGCAGTCAGGTATTGTTATAAAGACATGGCAAAGTCGCTCCTCCAAGCATCAGATCTCAGATCATCAAACCAAGACATTGAGAATAATCATGAAGCTCCCTGCTTTTCTCCTCGCGTTCTGCCTCATGGCACTCTACTTCAAGGTAGCAAAAGCGCTTACGCCCCTAAATGGCACTCTTTTCCAATCTACCTTTGTGTCAAACACTCAAGACCAGTCCTTCCTCATTGAGAGCACTCAGTATCTGGCTGTGACTTCGGATCCTATATTCACCGTCTCCTGTGTCCTGGACCCCTCTCAGGGACCACTCACATACATCTCCGCCCTTTCTGCCACAACCACCGGAGATGAGCTGAAACAAGTCATCAATGACTCTTTCGGAAAGGATGATGTCTTCGTTCAGGGCTTTCTAAGCAATGTTCTTGTTAGTGCCAGCAGCTCCGAAGACCTCGATGATTCGGTCATCAGCTATCTGGAAGGTCTCGGATCCAACATTATCTACGGTGCTGGTGATGGGCCATCCACTTGCGGCAACTCCACGCTTATTCCCTGTCCATTGTTTGCCATCACAGATGGAGACAGTCTCTACCTCAGCAAGGTCCTCCTCATGTACGTCGATATGTACAGAACCTTTGTGACTGGCACGTACGAGTCAAACGGAGAATACAAGGCATTCACCCAGTCCGAGGCTGACTGGGGATACCCTATGATTCCCGTTCCTTCCAGGCTTTACAGCACGGAAGACACAAGACCTTTGGCTGGTCAGCGTGTTGCAGTGAAGGACATTTACGATCTTGAGGGGATCCAGACGACCGCTGGGAGCAGATCCTACGCTGCCGTCAACGACGTCGCAGATAAGACGGCACCTGCTCTCCAGAAAATTCTCGACCTCGGCGGAGTTGTCGTCGGCAAGCAGAAGACTGCCCAGTTCGCGTCCCCTCAGAGCCCCTGGAACTGGAATGATGCGTTCTATCCCCGCAGCCCTCGCGGAGACACCTTCCTAAGCTGCTCAGGCTCTTCTTCTGGAGCGGGTTGCTCCATCGCTGCTTACGACTGGCTTGACTTTGCCATTGGTACCGATACTGGTCTTTCGGTGCGACAGCCGGCTGCATTTTCGGGCACATATGGCAACAGACCTTCTCAGGGAATGATCCTAATGGAGAACATCATCACAAATGCCTTCAATGCCGATACTGCCGGAGTCTTCTGTCGCGACCCTGTCAAGTGGACTACCTTCGCGAAGGCTTGGTACGACCCCTCACTCCATCAGGACACGTCGTTGAACGGCTTGCCTGCTCTCTCAGTTCCCGACGAGCGTACGTTCCCTAAGCGAATTCTGTACCCGGTCGACCATCTCCCGCTGCAGAACCCCGCCGCTGAGACAATTCTTCAAAAGTTCCTAAGCGACGCGTCGGCATCTCTTGGCGCCACTGTGGAGCAGGTCAACCTTACTGAGACGATCGAGAATGTGACCGGACGACCCATCTCGCAAATCCTCGGAGACTTGCTTGTTCTGTGGACACACGACTTGATCACGGAGACTGCCCAGCCCCTCCTGGCAAAGTATGCTCCGGCTTTTCCGCCCCTTGACCAACCGTATCGCGGGGCATTCCACTCCCTGACCATTGACGACAACGTCTACAAGGCGGCAATGGCGAACCGGACCCGCGATGCGGCCCTGTGGCACGACAAGACCCTGTTCTCCACGGACACATCCTGTTCTGAGGCAATTTTTGTTTATGATGTCGGAACTGGCGGCATTCCTACGTTCCGATCCCAGGACCTCAACAGCGACCCTGGTTCCACAGCCCCTGTGAACCCTACAACATCTCAAGCTGGGTCGACTGTGGCGTCTTACTTTGGCGATGCCGATTACACTGTTCCCATTGGCCAAGTCTCCTACTTCAGCAATGTGACTTTCCAGGAAGAGTTCATGCCTGTCACTGTGAATCTCGTGGCTAAGCGCGGCTGCGACTTTGTTCTCTTCAACTTGGTCAATGACTTGGCCGACAAGGGCATCTTGAAGACGGTCTTAACAGGAAAGCAGGCTTTTGCCTCTTAGGTCTAGAATAGGTAGCTCATAGATGGCTCCATAGATTTTTTAGTGAACTTCAGAGCGGCCACGAGGTGGCTGCCATGGTCATGGTTACTGCGGATTGTGCTGTGGACTATACAAGCCCGTAAATCCTTCCAATGTCACCAAACCTATCCCACATAAATCTGTTAAATATCATTCAGCCATCCAATTAAATCATGTCTGGCGACTCTTTCGTGAAATTTTTGCAGTGAATACCACGTGTCCATATGATTGAAGAAAGAAGACAGCTTTGTAATAAAAAATCTCATTTCGAAAAGCATTTTCTATTCACTTACAATACTTGTCTCTTGAAATGAGCTATAGGATGACTTCTCAGGCTCCTCAGGATAACCTTTACGGCTCCTTTTCCGGTCTTCGTCCTTTTTGTCAGAGTCTTGATCTCTAGAGATATTGATGGCCCGATATCCGACCTCTGCATTTGCTCGGGTTACTCTATCTGGACAACCGCGATAGGTGGGTGTTCAGAGGCTGTCATCTCAACATGAGTCGTATCAAATCTAAAACGGCCTGGAATCAGGCCCATTCATTTGCCCACAGTCGAAGGTTCACGTGCACATACGCGACGATAACCCAACCTTGCATTCCTCACTTTCTATGTAAACTACAACCATCTGAAGTCCGTTGACGCTGGTACAAGAATCAAAGAGCAGGATGTTCACCAGGGGCTTGGAAGTTAACATGGGGAAAGCGCATGGGATTCAAGTTGACGATTAATAACTCAAGTGTGGAGGCCATTGGGTGCTCTCCGGCTTGAATCCGAGATGCCTGCAAGATGCAGGAGTATGACACAGATGGTCTTGATTTTCCCGATTACTGACCGTCTTTCAAGCCTAAATATCAATAACCGCTGCCACGATGTCTTGCGATAGTTAAAACACCCCGCGCGCGTGTCGGGAACTGATGGAGGGCGGGCCCGCTCTTCCACTCGTTATTATTTTCGCACGCACATGGTGCCCTTGTCGATGGTCCGCAACGGCTCCTCCCGGATATAGGTCCCACTAGACATAGTTATCTGACAGCTCGGCGTAATTCCCTAATCTGGATCTCATCCAATACTCCAAGTCCGTTGCTCGGGGGGTATGGGCAAACAAGCAACCGCCTTATAATTGCCATGCCCCTAGACTATGCGTGGGTATGCCCCACTCGCTACGGGATGATACTCTACTTTTCACTCACAGTGAGAAACAAGTTATGAATCATGAGTTGGCACAATCTTGTGGGAACGATGAAAGAGGTCAGGGGAAGACCTAGGGATCGGGCGTCGTCATAAGGCCAAACAAACTTTCGTCACTTGAAGTCGTATCGTTTTCATCACCAGCTTCAGCCCTCAGACCATCGCATGATTAGGATACCAAAATTTGATATGTCAAGCAACATCCCCCGAGCAGTCAGACGACCAAAATTCTCTTCTGAGAATATGTCGAACGATATCTACTTAGTGGATTGGCATATGTTCAGGATGTGCCTAATGGATCAGATGTAGCAATCCATGTCAAGAGTCAGGGTCAAACTTCATAGTCTTCCACAAGTGCCCACAAGTATTGTCAACTCGGCCCCCAGGTGTCCTTGGCCTGACGAAGCATCTTAGTCAATGGGGAAGTGGTCTGCGCTCATCAAACCCGAAGCTGGTCTGAGCATTCCTTGCAGACCAACGAGGTAGCAAACGATGACGGTCATCTCTGTAACAGAGACTGCGAAAACAATGCATTCGTCTGAGAGGTTGAAGCTCAATGAGACAAGCTACCAGGCCGTTCCAGCTTAGGATTCGTGAAACTATTTTCCGTTATCTTACAACCTGCTTTGATCTCTGGGTCTTACCAGGTCGGGAAACGTCATACAGCTGGTTTCTATTCTAAGTCACTTAATGCTTCGTACTAGTTTAGATGTACTAATTATCGAAGCCTATTAATGCCTTGGTACTGAACACTGACCTACCATCATCACATGGCTTGACCTTTGCTTGACCTCTGCTCTTCTTCCCATTCGACTACCGGAAACAAGTAGACCCGTCCTACGCTTCGGAGACTCGCTAATCCGACGTCCCAATAAGCGAGATGACTTACGAAGTTGATAGATATATCCCTCAATGAACGTTGACTCAACTCCATAGTTCTACGGCAATGACTCGCCGCGAACCCAATTCCGAAAATTCTCTCTCGAACCATGAGCGACCCAGGATTGAGCCACGGCGGGCAGAAAAATGACATTATTCAGAGAATGCTACGTTTTCTTCATGAGAAGGCTGGTCAACCTAGGTGGCAAGGTCAAAACTTGCCTATTGTATGTTGATGTGGAATGTATTGCAACTCATGCTGCACGCAGGCGAGGTAGCATGTTGGCGATATCTCTTCCAGCCGGAAACGAGACAGACGATTGCCGGCTTAACCGCCGGCAATCCAGTCGGCATTCTCGTCTTTGTCAGAAAAGCCTGGAGTTTGATGTTTATATGTATGATTCTCACGATGTATAAGTAGAAGATCATCTCCCACCCAGATGATATCATCTTTTTGAAGGACATCACGCTCACAGTCTCACTCAGAACACTCTCATTCACAAGGCCCTCAGCACCTCAACAACTCACGTACCACAATCAAAATGCTCCCTTCTTTCAGCTTCAAGAGCGAGGACGCCTCCAAGGCCTCTGCCAACAAGCGCACTCCTTTCTCTCCTCTTGGCAGCACTTCTGGTTCCCGTCTGGCTCAGAGGCAATCATCCAGCGCTGCCGAACAGAAGGCTCGTCCTCAAGCCTGGGTTGACACGCCTCAGCTCATCTACTCTGAGTGGAACAAGGCAGCCGGCGACATCAACCAGCCTCTTGGCAGCCTACCCTCCAACTTCTCGATTGGTCTTGTCGGAGCCGGAATCACCAATGTGGTTCTGGCCTTCAACCTGGCCAAGGCCGGCGCAAATGTCACTCTGATTGAGGCGACTGACAGCGTCGGAGGCCGACTTCGGTCCCTTCCCACGGCTGACGGCGTCAACGTGGCGGAGATGGGCGCTATGCGCTTCCCTCCCTCGGAAGACCTTCTTTACTACTACGCCAATGAGTTCAACTACACTTTCATTCAGAACTTTCCCGACCCCGGCAAGGTCCCTACCATCGTCTACTACCAGGAAAAGGCTACTTCTTGGACCGACTCTAACACTGCTCCCACCGGCTTTGAGAAGGTCAACAATGGCTGGGTTCAGCTTATCTCAAAGGGCTTGACCGGCGGCAGCAGCACCTTAGCCGCTGGCAGTCAGATTACGACCTGGCTCAGTTCCAATGACACTGCCACTCGTAACCTTGCTGTTCCTGAGTGGCAAAAGTACTTGGACACCTTCGGCGACGACAGCTTCTACACTGGACTCCGTCGCATTTTCGGCGAGGGCCACGAGTGGGACGTTCCGGGGGGTGAAGTCTGGACCGAAGATGACTTCCAGCGCTTCGGCACTCTTGGAATCGGCTCTGGCGGCTTTGGCGCTGTCTACTCTGCGGGCTTCAACTCCGTTTTCCGCCTGGTTGTCAACGGCCTCGAGTCGGACCAAGCTGTCTTTGCCAAGGTCACCGACTCCGGTCTGCAGCCTGCCGGCATCCGTGATCTTGCCCAGACAATCTGGGACAAGGCGACTGAGCTCGGTGTCAAGACCAAATTTTCGACTGTCGCCGAGGTTACCAGCGGCGGCGGTGATGCTCTTGGAGGCCTTGCCGTTGGTGTGAGAGAGACTTCTGGAGGTGTTTCCACCAACGTCGAGTACGACCTTGTCGTTGTCGGGACTAGCAACCGCGCCATGAACTACGCCTTTACTCCGGTCTCGGAGACCACTGAGGACCCGATCATGCCTTTGGAAGTTCAGAGAGCCATTAATGATCTCCACATGACCGCCTCATCCAAGCTGTTCATCCGCACCAAGAAGTTCTGGGAAACTCAGGGGGCTGGTTTCCCTCGTGTCATTCTTTCGGACACGAACCTGCCGCAGACCTACACTCTGGACTATGGACACCCCGACTACGGCATGGTCCTCGTCACCTACGCCTGGGAGGACCTTTCTCTGCAGATGACGGCTATCTCGGATCCCAAGGAGCTTCTCACTGAACTCAAGACTCAGATTGACAGAATCATGCAAGAGTCTGACTTCCCTGAGTATGCCAGCCTCCTTGAGCCCGTCACTGATGACGATATTTACCTCATTCACTGGCCTCTTGACCGCTACTCGTACGGTGCCTTCTCTCTGGGATTCCCGGGCCAGGATGTTAGCATTGAGTCTCTCTTCTATGATTGGGAGAGAATCAACCAGACCCAGACTTCGCGGGTCCTGATCAACAGTGACTGCACTTCATTCCTTGGTGGATGGGTAGACGGTGGCCTCCAGCCGGCTCACAACACTCTTTCGGCAGTCTTGGAAAAGTTTGGAACTTTGAACTCGGCGGCTGCTCATTTGGCACCTTCTGCTCTTCTTGGGTCTGGCTTGTACCAGTACTAGATATTTACTCATGATTTCCTTGGTTATCTTCGATTCATCATACCACTATCAGGTAGACTCAATTAAACACGCGCGTTTTCTCATAACACTTATGAACACCAGCTGTCTAAGACGCTTTGCATTGCCACGTTCTCAAGACAAGCTCTTGATGGGTTAATGTTTTCCAAATCCCGTAACTAAGACTCCAATCGTGATGAACTCTTTCATCTGGTAAAGCTGCAAATTTAGACTTAGCGCTATAATATCTTGTATAATTTTCATGCATTCTTGAGAGTTCTAGCGGGTGGAGTGAGTCATCTAACACAACGCATCTACTCGATTGAATGTTCATGTAGACTGTCGCAGTTGTCTTTTCGGTGTCTGTTATACGGTGGATATTTTGTCCGGGGTAGCTTCCGGCGTACGACCCCGGTCGTCAATGGCGTTGACAGCCACATGGATCTGCAACTAGGCTGCTCGGCACTCTGTTCAACTCCACACAATAGACCTTGGGTCTCAGCTGACACACCCCTTAAATCTCGTTCTCGGCATGCAAGGATCAGTCGGGCCCTACCTGGAAAGGGGCCGACGAAAACTTGATGTGTTCTTTATCACATTCCAGTTCTTTTACCTTAGTAAAGTACATACTGCCACTATGGTCGGGATAAGTCCCGGGCGCTAGAAATGGGCAGTAAATTCATATCAGATATCGAAATAAGTCCTGAGAATGGGTCCATTCTGATTCGTGATTGAGCAGCTAGGTTATATAACCCAACGGTTTACGTAGCCATCACTTGGGTTTCTAGGATTATCTTGGCTATCGCACCTTCAGTTCTTTGGATTCTTGTTCACGAAAGAGTTTGGGCTGGTCTCAGGCCCCAATTATCGACAACATGAAGTTCACTTCCATTTCCAGTCATCTCGTCATCCTTTTGGGGGCTTCTTTATGGGCTCCAGAGGCAAACGCCCTCTGCTCCAATTCTTCCCGATCAACCTTTAAACACCCTGGCCTACTTCACACTGCCAAAGACTTTGACCGCATCACCGGTCTCGTCAACGCCCAGAAGGAGCCATGGACGATCGGCTGGAGCAAACTCAAGACACGCGCAAACTCTGCTTACACCCCCAATCCCAAGGAAACGGTGTGCCGTGGCGGCGCAGGTCGCGAATGTAACCCCGAAAACTATCCGTCTCTCTACCGCGATGCCCACGCCGCCTACACCAATGCCATTGTATGGAAGATCACCGGCGACGAGGCACACGCCAACGCGTCGGCTCGCATTCTTGATGCTTGGAGTGACTCGCTCGTCTACATCAATGGCTCTTCCGACAAGTTCCTGGCTTCCGGTATCTATGGCTTCCAGCTCGCCAACGCAGCCGAGATCTTGCGTGAGTGGAAGGGATGGGACGGCTTGTCTGCGATGACCGAGATGTTGCAGAGAGTCTTCTACCCCATGAACCACAACTTCCTTGTCAACCACAATGGCGCATCCATCGACCATTACTGGGCCAACTGGGACTTGGCCAATATGTGCACCATGCAGGCTATCGGAATCTTGTCAGACAACAAGACTATGTACAATGAGGCAGTCAACTACTTTAAAAACGGTGCTGGCAATGGCGCCATCAAGATTGCTATCTGGGAATTGCATGAAGAGGAAGGGTCTGGCAAGGTCCTTGGTCAAGGCCAAGAGGCTGGTCGTGACCAAGGGCATGCTCTGCTGGACTTTGCTTTCTTGGGCGTTTTTGCGCAACAGTCTTACAACCAGGGTGATGACTTGTTTTCGTACCTCGACAACAGAATTTTGGCAGGGTAAGTAAGGTCTACCACAGTAACATGAGATGAATACTAACACGAGACCAAGGTCGGAGTACGCCGCCAAGTACAACCTCGGATTTGATGTCCCCTTTACCAACTTTACCAACAGTCACGGCACGGCTGTGAATATCAGCGAATCTGGACGTGGCGGTCTTCGACCCATCTGGGAGCTGCTCTACAATCACTACGGTGTCATCAAGGGGCTCAATGCTTCTTGGACCGAGCAAATGCGCGACCACGTGGTTGAAGAAGCCGGTGGTGCCGAGGGAGGTGGCGGCGACTACGGCACAACCAGCGGCGGTTACGACCAGCTAGGATTTGGTACCCTTCTTTACAGATTGGAGTAGGATCGGAGCCAGTTGCTCTATTTCTGGGAACTTCGGCTTGGCACTGATCTGCATCCCTCACGTTTTTCTGCCACCTTGGTAGCCACCTTCATTAGTTTCCATTCCATTGTCTCTTCGATTGCTCATACTGTCCTTCCGACGGCATATAATTCTTGTCTATATTCTATTGTCACTCCCATATATACCATAAGATGTGTTCATCTACCTTCGTTCTACATTTTGCCACTTTTGACTGTCTGGCTCCATTCTATGGAAGACGCGTGTCCGCACAAGGCCTACGATAACCTTGCCAAAATACATGGTTCTGAAGAACGAATCTTCCTTGTCAAGGCAACGATCTCATCAACGTTGACTATACTGTATCTGTCTTGCTTTGATTGCTACGTTGAGTATGTATATTCCAACATGTGACATATCCTAGATAGGTCAATAAGCCCATATCAACCCACCCCAGCTAGGATGATCATTGCTCGTCAAACGGCTCTCAGCTCCGACAGCTTGCTTAGCTTTTGTGATCCAAGGCGCTTCGAGCTGTCTTTTTACAACATACTGGTAGTACAGAATATCCCACATTGGATTCGTAGCCGTTACACCTCGCTTGTCCTGGGAGATGATTGCCCAAGGCCCATTGACAAGAACTGCTTCGCACCTATACCACTTTGGATCATATGAAACGGTCTCATTCAGGTTGAACTTGGCCGTATACTCTGCACCTTTCAGAAGCAGGTTGTCGCCTTGACTGTAGAGGTCGGAACCTTGACTCTGGGCTACCCGCGCAGCCTGAGCGATCCAGCCTAAGCCGGACATTGCATGGCCTTTGACGATCAGCAGTCATCTTTTTCGTCGAAGAATTGAGGGTGACTTACTCTGGTCGCGGCCGGACTCCGAGCTTTGGCCCGTCTCGGGGTCGAAGAAGGAGTAGAGCCCCGCACAGGGGTTGTTCAAATACTCATTGATGGCATAATTGTAGAGAGTAACATCGTCGAGATAGACAGCAAAGCTCAAGAGCGCCTTAATACTAGCCATTCCGTAGTTTGCCTGACCAATCGGGATAGACTGGCGTGAGAATAGCCAGTAGAGCTGGATGCTGAAGCCAGATCCGCCTTGCCAGCGTGCTCCAGACTCAGTCCAGTTCCCCTCCCAGCGCATGATCTCCGCGGCATTTACGAAGAGATCGCCATCCAAGCCAATGAGGAGGGACCGGTCCGTGCCGATAATGTCGACTAACGTAGACCCCCAGCTATCCAAAATGGTCGTGCTGCGGTTCCAATGGGCGTCATCTTTGGTGATGTACCACATCAGGGCATTCTGCCATGCGGCTCGGGCGTCGGAGGCGAAGGACGTGTAGTTGCTGACGCTGCCACGTGAGATGACCGGCTTTGGTCCCTTCATCTCATAGGTTGACAAGCTGTAGCTGTCCTTGCTGAAAACCGCATAGGTTGACGCCCAAGGATCTTTGTCTTCGAGTATCCCATTGCGGATGCGCTCTAGATCCTCGTGCGTATGCCAGATACCGGGATGAACGAAGTCACTTGGCCGGCTCTTGAGGTATGATGAGATATCACCCACGGGAGACGCGGATACAAGTGGCACTGACCCAAACACACCAGGGATGTCGGCTACCGTGGCAAGGCATGGCTGTGCGAATATAGCGACCCATGGCAGAGCTGACAGTGATGAGAAGACCTAGGAGTCATGAGCACGTTACCATTTCGAGAATCCTGAGCGGGACCTACCCTCATCATGTTGCAACTGGTGAGACACAGATTCAGTAAGCGGGTCTTTGGAGTTGATCGATGCTGAGTCGTGGAATTGGAAGCTCCGTCTCGTCATGACACTTCTGGCTGAGATCTTTTCGGGTATTTCATAGTGTTCACGGGGTACACCTTTGACTCCACCACAACCGGCGCCGGGGGAGGTTGCGGGCCGGGAGTGCAATGGCGAGAGTTCACGGCTTCGGAGATCCCCAGAAAGTCACTACGCGCCAGAAGTTCAACAACATCTGGGGTAAAATGCGGGGGTTGCATTCACAAGTACCTTGCGGGGAACCAACGTTACTGCACACATCTTGTGATCCGTAAGGTTTGATATCCCTCGAGCCATCATCTTCACATATCGCGATTACATGCCATGTAGAAGGGCATACCGTCGGACTGTTATTGATGTTCCCCACAGAAACTTGTAGCGGCGGGGCATCTACCGGAGTTCATGTTAAACGCCCCGAGATTGCCTTGTCGGATTTGCTCACGTATCCGGTCAAGCTCAAGGCGTCATTCGTAAATCGTTATTTCTCGCATGGAGAGTCGCCAGGGATCTGAAACACATCATTAACATCACCAGTCGGTCAAGATCTCCACGCCGTTGTAGGGGAAAACTGAGTCTATGGGGCGAATAGAACAGCCAGCAGATCATCAGTCAGGGGAGAAGGGGAACATTGAGGGTGCTGGGTTGTGGCGCAAGTGGAAATTGTGATGAGTCATCATTGAAGCTATGCCAACGTCCATTGGTCAGGTGCCCCTGGGATCCTCTCTCCATCAGCCACCACCGCCACACCCAACGGGGCGCCCCAAATTCGCGCGACCGCTTCCCCCACACCCTACACAGGCTGCAGAAGGTACCCAGGTCCTCCATCAAGGGTTGTATAGTGTAGTGGTTATCACTCCGGATTTTGATAACATCAAAATCGAACCTTTCCGGCAACCCCGGTTCGAACCCGGGTACGACCTCATTCTTTTGCCGTTTTCCCTTTTGGTTCCCGACAGCGATGAGATGCATGCATCTTGTTGCTTTGGGCGGATCGATGATTAAGCCGCAATCTTTTGGTGCCAAAATCTCCTTTCTTCACTTGTTTCTTCAACTAATTAGTAGCAGTGCCGACGCGAAGGTAATTTAACGTCTTAGCAAGACCAGGCCTGTAAGAAAGCCAATCGTCCAAATGTCCCAATATAAACATATTCAAATGACTACAAAGCATGTGCAAATCAGGTCAGGTACCTATTCATCGGCCACAACTTTGCCGCAATTCGGGTTGAAGTCTGCAGGCCAGTCACTGCCGGGCTTGTAGATTCCTCCCCTACCGCTACCACCGCCGCCTCCATTGCCCCCGTTCCCCGATCCTAGCCCCGAATCGGACCCCGCTGTCGCTCCCGGCCCGGATTCGCACTCACCAATCGGCGGCACAGCATCGAAATTGTTGACTTCCACATCCGGCCCCGGATGCGGAATCATGACGTCTCTCGAATCCACCGTCCTGCATCCATTACCCACGTTCGCTTTGAACATCTCCGGTCTTTTGTTGAAACTCTCACCATGGTCATGTCCACCTCCGCCTACGATGCTGATGATGTCGTAGTTCATGTACATCTCCCGATTTCCAAGTTTGTTGAACCACGTCCAGCCGAGCACCGCATGGTCAGAAGACAGCGTGTCGTCTGGCAGTCTGAATCCTAGTTGGGTTGCATCGCCCCTTGGGCAGCCCCCGATGATGCTGCGGAGAACCTTGAATGAATTGCCGCCGTCTAGTGAGAGGCTGGTTTGGCATAATCCTCCTGCGTGCACAGCATGACCAGAAATCGTAACAGAGTAGCTATTGCCGGCAGTCCAATTGTTGACGGGCGCCGCCTGTGAGGAGCCCAGAAGGCTCAAGTAACCCTTCCAAGGAAAGTCAGAACCGCTTGAGGATAATGGGGTGTGTAGCTGCAGTTGGCATTTTCAGGTGAGGTGTTCGGATTTCCTTTAGCTTTGATTGGGGGCTGGTCAGTCATGGCCATGTGTGCATAACCTCTGCCGGCCATGAACATTAGCCCGAACCAGTATCTCAAATGCAAAGCGCGAAGCCTTTTGTTGCGAAGTGGAAGAAAGTAGATTTTCTTTCTAGCAGCAGTTTCAGTGACTTGCTCGACTTGACCTTTGTCTTGTAAGTAAGGTTCGAACTTTCTATCAGAGATGCCATCACATCCTATGCTGCAGAGTGAAGAATCTTCGCTTAAGAGCCTGTATAGAGAAATCAGATTCGTGAATGAGCCGATTTTCGAGGGCCTACTTTGATTCATCTGTATTCGAATAATATTGGCGGCTTACAGTGAATGAAGATCCGAGTCTCCCTGCGAAATCAGCATCACAACACGCCCGAAAGGCTAAAGCCATAGACCATTGCTTTGCCTTAGAACCGGGCCGCATCATATCCCCATGATTTAGTCAGTTAGTAATGATGGTAAATCAGTTTATTCTAATGTTTCAGAACCTCAAACGTCCATTGATTGAGTTACCTCAGATATTATGCCCTCGCCGCCCATGCAATCAAAGCAGCCCCAACTCCGCTACCGTCTCTCGCCATGCCGATCCTGATTCTTTTATCACCCATGACACCAATCTCTGGAATTTCTCTCAACGCTTCCCTCAGATTCTCTTCAAAATTAGGGAAATGTTCGATCAAAGAACCATCAACCCCAACATCGATGATTTCGTTCGAGTCCTCGCCATCATTGTCCGCCGGAGAGCTATCCCCGTCCCCGGGTCTAGAGAAGTCGCCCGATGTGCCCTTTGATGAAATCGCGAATCGAACTTTTACATGAAGCCAACTCGTAAGCAGGTTCCACAGGCTCCGTGCCCCATAGAGAAAAGGTCTGAGAAGGTTGGTTCCGAGACCTCGTGATATCGTCGCTGCTGGCTTGCTGACGCTTCTGGGCGTAAACAACCCAGATTGGAGAGCAACACCAGCGATTGCGACAGAAGATAGTCTGGCTGACCTACGCCCAATGGCCGCAGAAAGAATCTGTATAGCCTTTGCATCGTCCGTCGATACACCTGTAGCGTTGAGTACTCGTGAAATCTCTTCACGCGCGCTCTCAAGCGCTGGGCCTGAGTCCTTGACAACTGCTGACAGCAAAGAGCTATCAATGCTGTCCGGCGTGTAAAGCGGGGAGTCTTCCGAGACTTGAAAGCCAAATAGGCTCTGTCCAGGTTGTGACAGGTCGATTAGTATGCGCCGAAGTAGTTCACCAAGATACATGCCGGATATGCGCTTCTCGAAATGCTGATCGTCTGGGTTGACAGAATCTCTGTCCAAGTCTCGGTCGAATCGTGTTGAAGGTAGTACTTCTAACTTGTTGTCAAATCCTCCCCATTCGGTATTCAGCGCCATCATTGCGTCCGATGCCGAAGTTGAGAACTCTACACGTGAGTGCAGCTTGGTGATGCGAGAAACACGCTCCATGTAGGCTCCGTTGGTGCCGGTTCCGAAGATGGCGCCTACCACATTACTAGAACGTCCCGGAGATGTGTATGCTCGTGCAGCCAAAGTGCCAACGGTATCATTAGCCAGCGCTGTGACCAGAAGAGGCAAGTGTTGCTCGTCGAGAGCCTCTTGCAGCATGGCACACGGGTCGCGGCCGACTGCATCAGCGATACCGAATGACTTTGTCCAGTACAGTAGTGTTCCCTCATTGATAGCATGCTGATCGAAAGTAAAACTGAAAGTGAAACCAAGGCTCTTGCAGTGCTTCTGTCTTATTTCTTCAGTGATTGCATCTCCCTCTTTTAGGAGTTGAGACCATGTTGTGAGGTCTTCCGGGTGATGCGTCTCCAGAAACTCCTTCATCTGCAGCGCGATGAATCTAAAGAGATCCTTGTATGTTGGCGCAGCCATCAGGTGTCTGGGAATGACGACTTTGGACTGAGTCAAGGAGTAGGTGGAGTCTCCGTGTAATTCGACAGAGCATACCCTCAAGTTGGTACCGCCAAGATCAATGGCCAAGCAGACGCCCTTTTCGGAACCATTGGGAAGTTTGGTCACAAATGAAGGGATCTGGCACATTGAAGTGCCATCTTCCTGAAGTCCTTCATCTTTCAGTGGTGTCAGTACGCTGCGCGACAACCCAGAGTTGATTAAACTCACTTAGCTGCTTCAAAAAATGAGTTGTGGCGCGACGAACATCCTCCGCTGGAAAATCGAAGTCATGTACGATTTTTCGGGCCTGAGCTATCAACTCAGACGCCCTGTCATGCTGAAAATCAGTTGAAGACATTGAAACACACCACTCTTCCGACACACAATGTTAGTCGTGGGCTGTTGTTGGTGGGAAAGCTAGGTTCATGGGTGCCAGCGCCTATCAGCAGGTTGGCAACCGATCAAGTATCCAAACCCCCGCGGCAAAAAGAACGACTTTGGCACCGGAACTTGAACCAACTCCTGCAGCTAGGATACAACCGTTCGGAAAGAAAAGGAAGGTCACCTCTTCGGCATGTACTGTAAGAACTAAGAACACTCAGAGCTGGCGCAGTCTACCACAACCATCGATGCCTCGGTGAATCCGGACCGGGTTGGCTCGGTGGACCGCTTGGAATTAGCCAGAAATCCCTCCAATAACAAACCCCCGGCCTATCAAGGACCGGGTCCAGGACCCCACGTTAGCACTCGTCACCCAAATCTTCAAAAAGACCGGTTCCCCGGTGCGACCGGTGAATCTTAACTCTACCCCGATCCCACCTGTTTCACCGGGTACCCGCCGAAGAAAGCAACAGTGAATCGAACCTGGCCGAAAACAAGGCCAATGGACACCGGTGTTTCTCGCAATTGTCGCAATTGATACAGTGGGACTCGAACAACGCAATCGAAGTATCAGTGCACAAACATACCGCTTTCATAATGTCTGCTCACCAGATGAGGGACAAAGCGTCGGCCGATGGGCCGGATGAGTCGGGCCCGAGCAAGGCCCGGAAGGCATGCGGTAAGCAGATGGTGGACTCCGTCTCATTGCATGCGACTGTAGACGCTGACGGGTGTGCCCACTTCAAGTCAATTGTAGAAGGCAAAAGGTATGTCGGCCTTGGACCTGGCCCTCTGGTGAAGGCGAATAGTCTAACCGACCTTTTCGTGACCACAGATGAAATGTAGAATTGAGAATGGGGCCACATGTCGAAGATGCCTCCGTGCGGGAGTGCCGTGCGTGTTCGTGCCCAGAGCCAATGTAGGCAATTATCCCAGCGTCTCATTCTGTGTTTGTAACCCTCCCAAGACGTGTCTGACGAATCGTCTAGTCCGCGTCTCATCGTGAAAGTCTCTCGCTGGCTTCGTTGATTCAGGCAAATGAGCATGCCCCAGCACTGAATAAATCCGTGTTTCTTCGGTTGAAGCGACTGGAAGATCACTTGGGTCTGCCAGTCCTCACCAACTTGGAAGAAGCAGACTCGCCCGTGTCCCCAGATGTACCAACATTCGAACCCGACACACCAGGGGAGACATCGCTTGGTGCTCTATGGAGCGCTGTATCTGTCTTGCGAAGGACATGTTCATCAAACGCAAGCTCAAATATTTGGGAGAAATCCCTGATCAAAAGACTATGGTTATCGTACGTTCGCCCCAGATGCTCGACACCATACCTCGTAGTTGCACCAACACATCTGATACTCCTCCAGCTTCCACGAGTCCATGCCAGGGCTCCACTTCCTCCCAACCAAGCAAACCTTCTCATCGCCGAGACCACTCATGCTAGCTTCAATGTTATACTGCTCAAGTATACGAGGCTTGCCAGAAGTCGCAGTTTTGGCGCCAGACTACTTCAATGTCTTGTGCAGTGCCATTTCACAGCTGTGCATACCACAGAGCGAAGTCGGTCAAGCCCCGGATGACCCAGCTTCAGCTGAAGAATGGGCCTTTCAAACCGTTCTGGGAATCATACTCGCCGGACTGCTACGAGAAGCCGTCGTTAAAGAGACGGGGGTCTGGATATCTCTCGCTTACAGACTCATCCTCGAGCACTGTCCCTCCAACACCGATGAGCGATCCCGCGAGTGGCAACGCCTGTTTTCTGGCCTTCAGGTAAAATGGACAAATTTTCCCAGCGGTTTTCTGCATCTTTCTAACATCAAGTAGATCGTTGACCTCGAGCACGCCTCAATACATCTCTCATGCCCAGTCATACCAATCGAGGCGCCTCTCCCACGACTCAAGATCCCAATACAGGACCAACTCTATCGGCTCTCGAGGATGATGCACACCGGCCTAACTCACTTCACAGGCAGAGGTCTGCCAACGATATGGTCCTGTTTCGAGAGCGAGCCTAGCGTATTACAGATCTCTTCCGTTCAGTTTAGCGGCGTCGACGGCGCTGTCATTCGCGACTGGGCAAGGCAGCTAGACGACTGGCTCGTTGAGTTCAGCGACAAGGACTTTGAGTCGGAGCACGAGAAGAAGCTGGTGTTCCGGCAGTATATCCTGCACAGGCTTCTCGTGCTATCCATCTACCACCCTGCCCGAGGATGCAACCTGTTTTCGAACACGACGCCGAAAGAGCAGCATGAGCTGCTTGTGTCAGCAAGAGCGGCGGTCAAGCTTCAAATTCTAGATGCTTCGATATGGTCGAATTGGGATCTCGTCATGATCACCTGGGCTGCTCTCATCGTACTTCAAGGTGTAGACGGTGGAGTAGGAGAACCAGACGGTAAGTCGATGCCCACTTCGTGACTGATGTAAGGGTCCATAACTTATCTGATGATACTTTTTAGATCTTGAGAACGTTGGAGTTCATCTTCAAAAGCTGAAGGAAATGCACGAGCCGAAGCCAAGCTTGCGAGGCATTTTAGCGACACGACTGGAACAGAAACTTCAGGGCCTTCATACGCCCGCTTCTGGAGACGCCGAGGTGTTCGAGCAAGAGATCCGGAACTTGGATAATTCATGGTATATCTTTGACCAATCGAGTCTGCAAGCAGGATATGAGCTTTGGTCGTACGAGAACCAGGGAGGATAGCCTTTGAATTCATTCACTCATTCAATCATCCTGGAGCGGCTCACTTACGTCGTGATGAAGGTTTTATAGAACTGTTACTTCATTGACTGATTGACTTTGGTATTGTCTGCACTCTAAACTATGGGTGTTCAAATGACAAATGCCCATCCATTCCCAATCTGCATGTATAACCCCGCGCGAAGCATCATCGTCAACTAGATGACAGGCCATGAAGCAATACGAGAAGACATGCTGTCTGGCGTCAACTCCACCAAGTGATCCTCGTCAAATGTCGGCTTTGTGTTAGACGGTGTCCGGGGCGTCTGAGGAGGGCTGACAAGTGACGTCGTTCTAAGTCTCAAAGGCAGCTTCTGCTCGAAACCTTTTCCAAGGCCAACCTTTTCAATGCTCTTGAAGTACTAGGGAGGTGTACAAATCAGCAAAACATCAACACAAACAGCTCTAATGTTTGAGATCCATACCTTCACAGTCTTGACCTGCAACTCTAATGTTGCGTCCTCATCTGCAACGATCATGGAATAGGGGTGTAGTTGTAAACACGACAGTGTCCACATGTGATTCACCCCACCCTCAATCGCTTTCTGGAGAGCGATCGATTTGCTCGCTCCGTTGACAATGATGACCACCTCTCTGGCCTGTGCATAGTTGTCAGCAAGCGTGTTCTCTGCAGTCACAAGTGTCTCATGTTCCCCAAAAAAAAAAGGGGGGCTGTGGTTGGAAAGGAGCAAATGCACACCTCCATTACTGTCTGGACACCAACAGTCAAAGCCATCTGCGGGACCTTGTTCAAATCGCCGCCAAAGAATCGAGCATTCGCCCTAATAGTATCCATCGCCAAGGTCTTCACCCTCGTCCGAGACGCCAGACTTGATCCAGGCTCATTGAAAGCGATGTGGCCGTCTGGACCGACACCACCGAGGAAGAGGTCAATGCCGCCGGCAGCTCTGATCTTTTCTTCATAGGAGGCGCACTCGCCATCCAAGTCAGGCGCGTTGCCGTCGAGAATGTGGACATTTTCGGGCTTGATGTCGACATGTGAGAAGAAGTGGCGGAACATGAAGCTGTGGTATGACTCGGGATGCGTCTGTGGCAGGCCGACGTACTCGTCCTTTGGTCATTGTGTCAGACGGCGGCATTCGAACTTTGGTGAATTGACAAAAAGAGGACTAACCATGTTGAATGTTATGACATCTTGAAAGGAAATACGGCCGGCCTTGTGCTCTGCAACTAGGATCTCATAGATCTGGATCGGACTGCTGCCCGTAGGCAGACCGAGAACGAATGGCTTCTCTGGCGTTGGCTCGAAGGTTCTGATGCGATCTAAGAGGTGTCAGGACTCTTTCGGATTATCATCTCCAAAGCCCCAATCAATGCAGAGGTCATACCGAGGATGTAGTGTGCAACATGGGCAGATGCTGATGCGCTATCAGGCCTGATGATGAGCCTCATTGTGTCGGTTGTAGTCTTGAACAACTTGATTCAGAATAGAAGGATAGCAACGATAATGACAAAGGAACCGTGAGTTTTGATATTTCTTAAGGCTGTTATCGCTCAGGGAATCAGTGAATGTGGAACGCGATGGTGAATGGGGGTATATGAATCCTCAGATGATAGCCAACCAGCTCCTACACCACATGCAGTCAACGCAACTATACCTATAGTGAACAACCAAAGCTTCACAAATCACACCGGCAATTCTACCCGCCGACGTCGCCGACTTCCTCTTGTCCTCCGGTGTTCGCTCTCCGACTTGACCGGTAGCACATTGCAAAAAAGGGGGGGGGGGGCGTCCTCTGGACCCGTCAACCCCACGTGGTGCAACCCGAGGATCCGGTAGCTGGGTGGCATCAACCTCGAACACTAAATTCCTTACCTCATCCATGCAAACTAAGAACAGTGCAGTGGTACCTCATGGTTCTGGTCTTTGAGCTTTGTGGGACCGTGAGTTTACGCGATAGTTGCATGCATTAACGTGACACCCGCAGGGACAAATTATTGAAATCCGGTAACCCTAACCCGGCTCTGGAAACGTTTGGTGTACCTTGTCTATACTATGTGCTCCTCTCCTTTACCCCATCGCATTTTAAAGAGAGTCCGACAGAGACGAGGAAACTCTCAGTCACTCCACGGCTCCGGAAGATAGAATTTCGGTGACTTGGATCTAATTACTCCTCCTTCGCCTGAAGCATCTTCTCGCTATACTTAGAGCCAGCCTTGAACCACCATGCGCCGACCAGAACCGTAAGTCCGCCAACAACAACGCAGGTGTAATTCATGTTGGCGGGCTCGACGGGCATCACGTACGGGAAAGAGAAGAATACAATGGCAAACGTCAGCCAGCAGACGGTGACGCCGTTGACGATGGGGCCCCACGTTGGCCCCATGTGGAATACGCCGCGGTGCATGTTCTTCCGGCGCGTCAAGAGGTTCGTGACGATGGGGAACATGTAGGAAATGTTGTTGATGGTGACGGCGGAACCGAGGAGAGAGTTGAATGCGGTGGAAGAACCCAGGTACAGACATCCCAAAGCTGCGACAGCTGCGGTGACGGCGAGCTGGGAGTTCAAGGGGATTTGCCACTTGTGGTGGACCTTCGACCAACTATCACGAACATGTCAGAATCACTAAGTTTAATGGTGTAGTAGTTGAGTAAGGCTCAACTTACATCCGGGAGAAGGGCATCGCGCCATCACGGGAGAAGGCCCAGAAGACACGGCCAGTACTCAATTGGGAGCTGACGACGCAGGGCCCCAGAGCGACGAACAGAATGAAGGTTAGACCAAACGCTCCCCCAGCCCCCTGCGTGACTTGGCGGAACAGCTCGGCCAGCGGAAGCCCGGTGTTGGTCGTAGACAGGGCGTCAAAGTCCTGGACGGAGAACATGAGGGTGATGAGGTAGGTGATACCCGTGACGAAGGCGATGGAAAGCGTAATGGCGATAGCCAGGGGTGCATTGCGAGATGGCTAAGCAAGGGTCAGCACACTCTCTGACAGTTGAGCAAATGAAGGAACAAGAAGAAACTCACGTTGGGCATCTCCTCCGTGATGTGGGTGACTCCATCAAGTCCACCAAGACTGTAGAGAGGATTGACTAGCCCAGTGATGAAGCAGACAACCTGGTTCTCCCAACCAGTGTTATTGATCCACGTGCGGAACACGAACTCGGTGTTGCGGTGCGTCGGGGCACACGCCGCCACGGTGACCATAACCACGAACCAGCCGATTTGCAGGTAAAAGAGGGAGAACTTGTTCAGTCCAGGAATGATCTTGTTACCAAACATGACGATCCCGGCGGTGATGAGGTTCAGCCCCTGGTAGACGATGAACGTCTGCCACGCCTGGATCTCGAGGTCTCCGTGGTAGAGCGCGATCAGGGCCATGAGAACCTGAGCGTAAATCAGGTTCGTTGACGCAGTCGTGAAGATCCCTAAGGTCAACGCCTGTCAGCCTCCCCATCCCAACATGCGATTGAAAGGCGAGACAACTTACAGCCAAGCACGCTAAACCAGCCTGTGAAAAAGCTCAAGACACCCGTCATCTTCCTCGGCGCGACGGCAGCAATCCAGTGGTACATGCCGCCTTCGGTGGGATACGACGAGACGAACTCGGCCAGCGACGCGCCGAGGAAGCATTGGAGCAGGGTGACTAGGATGAAGCCGTAGATGACGGCGCCGGGCCCACCGGCGTTGATCTCGGTGATGAGGCCGAGGCCGAGGCCGGTCCACGAGATTGTCGTCGTTGAGGCGAGGCCGATGAGACTGAGGGTGCTGAAATGGCGCTTGAGCTCTTGGGTGTGACCTGGTGCGTGTGTTAGTAGATGATTGCAGGATATGATGCTGAGAAAACTCACCCATCTGCGCCAAACGGATCTCGTCTGCGGAAAGGTTCTTCTCCGGAGCAGCGTCGACGCTCCGCCTCGGACTCGACGAGATGTCGGTGGGTGTCTTGACGTCTGCCATGATGTCTCTCTTGAACTCTGCCAAAGGTGATGTTCGTTCACAATTGCAAGCTCTCTTCAATTGTCAATTGTCGACAGGACACCTCAACAAGTCGTCTTCGCGTGCCATAGTCACGCGTGGGCGATATCGTCAACATATACCCATGCAGACCCGTAGGACCCTTACGGTGTTTTTCGCCCCCAGAATGCCGTTAGTCCACAATTGATAGTGTACGTATGGGGTCCGTCTGGCTTCAGCCAGACCCATCAGATGATTTTACCCCATCAATTGAGAATGAAGAACGATTGTGTTTACAGTTTTTCGTGTGTCCCCCGGAAACAAGCCGTGCTTTGCCGCGATCCGATACCACGGGTCCATCTTAAAGCTATGGGGCAGATAAAATCATAGTCCCGGTCAGATCTTCTGCCAGTATTCGTAGGAGTTGATTAGTGCAAAGATACGGGCATTAGAGCCGTGGTTGATCACCCGGTAAACATCGGACCGGGTCCTCCAACTTCTCCCAAGAGGCCAAGCTCCCCCGTTCATCGGACCTTAAACCGTACCACACCATCTGAACACTTTCTTTTCTGCCCTTCTGGACTGCCAAAAGTGCGGAGAAGAGGCGAGCAGGGGGCACCGAGTCATCGGTCAGGGACGATCCTTGTTAGAGCCAACCGGGCATCTCGCATCTCCCCCGGCTTTCTTCTTCCACGACCCCGGTTCATGCCCGTAACCCAGTGATACCACTGTCCTTCCGGGCAATCACCTGTTCTTCGCTCGGGGATGCCCCGAAATGCTTCTTCGTGCTGCCTTTCCTCGGCTACAGGGGGTCTCTCGCGCCGTTGGGAATTACAACGTCCCACTGAGCCAAGGTCTACGAATTCGAATCCTTCATGTTCTTTCTCTAAGAGACTAGTGTACGGAGTACGACTCTCATCCCGCCTTTTCCACAGCTAGGACGACGGGTTGTCAAAGGTCTCCATGTCTTCCCACCCTCGTTATCACCTCCGCATTCTTACCTAACCTGGCCAACATCACCGACCCGAAGTCGAGAGAGGAACCCACCCAGCCACCGCCGCTAAAGTAGCTTGTCCTGCTTGATTGATTGCGCACCCGGGTCGGGACCCCGGGGGAGGGGTTTTCCTGCTTGAACATGACATCTCTTGGTACTCGCCCACTGCCCGTTCGTCGCCGGTCACGCAGCTTGTATCCGTATCTGTGTAATGACGACGATCTTCCGGGGGCCCAGCGCGATATGGGCAACTCTTGGCCGCGGTCTTGGCCGCGGAGAGAGACTGAGAGAGAGCGAGATTCGATATGATGGTGTATATTAAGGTAGCCTGAGACCGCATCCCCGGGTTCGCAATTGAGTCCCCTACCCCAGATCTCTGTTGAGCTTCCAACTCCTCTGTCATTCGTCAATTGGTCCCTCTCGTCCTCTCCTCTCTTCACAATGGCAGCCACCTTCAAGGCGATGGGCATCCTGGCCCTCGCCAGCTCAACAATGGCGGTGTCGCCATACGTCGCCAATCTCTCCACCAACGCCCAAGGCCTCTTGACTGAGTCCATGACGTGGATGGACCAGTACTACGACCGTTCCGCGGGGTACCTCTACGACATTGGATCCGCGTCCGCGCTGCGGCACGAGACGCGCAGCTCCGTCTGGTACGCCCTGGGTCTGCTTGCGCGCAACGACGGCGACGACGTTGCGGAGGCCGAGAAGATTATCAAGAACACCATTGGCGCGCAGTTCAAGAACGTCTCGGAGCAATGGTGAGAGCTTCTTCACATCTGAGTTGACGGGCGCAAGAGACTGACTTGACTTTCAACACAAAGGTACGGAGACTACCAAAAGTACGACGGGGAACCGTACGTGGGATCGCCTTACTACGAGGACAGCATCTACAACTCGTGGGACCCCAACTGGAGAGGTTTCGTCGGCACGACGCTCGTCATGGCGTTGGAGGAGTTCCCCCACCTGCTGAGCAACGACACCCAGGATCTCATCCTCGAGTCGCTGCACAACACCACAAAGGGAGACGAGTACCGCGTCGGCGGCGTCGACGACGACAACCTCTACCCAGCCTACAGCAATCCTGTAAGCGCCTTTCTTCTTGACAACAGCTGTAATGCAGGCACTAACACCACCAAGGCCATCATGCGCGCCCTCGTCTCAGGCTACACCGGCCGCCGCCTCAACGACGCCAACATGACGGCCTCGGGCGAGTCCTACGCCCAGGAGATCATCGATCTCTTTGACCGCGCCAACACGCTCTCCGAGTTCAACTCGGGCACCTACACGGGCGTCTCCCTCTTCGGGCTGATCCTCTGGTCCAAATACCTCCCCGAGGACTCGGTCATGACGCAAAAGGGCCCGCAGATGCTCGCCGACACGTGGAAGGCCGTCGCGCAGCTGTGGCACCCGGGCATGAAGAACATGGCCGGCCCCTGGGACCGCGCCTACGGCTACGACATGAACCGCTACGTCAGCTTGATGGCGCTCTGGTTCTGGACCTTGATTGGCAAGGAGAACTCTTCCCTCATCTCTGCTGTAAGTCTATCCTCGAAGTGGCTCCTCAGGCCAAGGCCCCAGGAGCGCACTCGTATAAAAACAGCATACTAACTCCGAATAGCCTCAAGTCATGTCCCACGCCGCCGACTACGCCTGGGCCCCCCTCTTCGCCGTCCTCGCCGACTTCCACGCAAGCCTCCTCCCCGAAGGCCTCGTCGCGAACCTCACCACCTTTGGCAGCGAAGACCGCACCTTCTCCGCCTCAACCTTTTACCCGCCCTACGACCTCGTCCCCCGCAACATCAGCACCTGGCTCTCGGAAAACCTCACCATCGGCGCAGAATCCTTCAAGGAGAACGTCGTCGGCGGGCCCTCCATCAACCAGGCGTCCTTCAACCCGGCCGTCGTGCAGTGGGACACGGGCGCCGAGATCGCCTTTATCTCGCTGTACCCCACCGAGATGTCGCTCGACGTCGAGGTCGCGCCGAACAAGCTGAGCCTGAGCTACCCCAACGGCACCGCCGACTCCATCTTTACGTTTGTCGTCGGTACCTTTATCAAGAAGCCCACCATCACCAGCTGGGCTGATGTTCAGGGCCTGTCTGTGAATGTCTCGGGTAACGTCAACGAGACGTACGCGCTGTCGTTTGCTGGGTCCATGGGAGGCACCAGCTCGCCCATCCGCGACTTTGAGTTTTGGAACTTTACATACACGCTGCCTCAGGGCTTCGAGGGCACGCCGAGCATTGTCCTCGACTTGAACTTGTTGTAAGGATGAGATGGGTGGGGGGTTAGATGTCAGGCTCCTTGAGGCTAGGCATGTTTATGGTGTACATAGTTGAGCATTCCGGCTTGGGATGTTCATGATAATGAAGTAATGATATTGGTAGTAATGGCAGGGAACCTCTACCGTCAACAAAGGTCGTCGATAGACGCAATCAAAATGGGTGGAATTGAATTCCATCATGCTCTTCGTCGTCGATGAGAAAGTAGTAATCTTGATGATATTTGACGATTTCCTCAATTTTGGATGCGATTATCAATCAATCGCAGAGTATTACACTACATTTATGTTTTACACGTGCTTCTCATAAAACTCAACCCCTCAAGTAAGCAAGAAGGCCTCGCTCAACAGCGACACCAACTGCGCCAGTAGCAGCAACAATCCACACCCACTGGTTATCGTACTCCCCAAGACTGGGCCAGAAGCTGTTCTTGTCGCGCTTGTACTCCTGGAGCTGCTGGAACTTGAGCGGGTTCTCCTTGGCGTAGCGCTCCTCCTGGCTGGCCTCAGTGACCTTATCGCCGCCGAGGTAGCGGAGGACAATGTAGTTGACGATGGGGCCGAGGGCGGCGAGGGGGTGCATCATACCGGCGCTGTAGAGGAGGACAGGGAAGGACAGGTGGACGAGGGCGTCACCAAGGTAGCTATGCTTGGTTAACTTTCATAATTCAATGATAGAAGTTGAGACCCATGGATTACTTACTTCGGGTGGCGGACAATGCTCCAGACGCCCTCGCGGTTGATCTCCTTGCTCTTGCTAGAGTGTTCCTCAAGCTGGCTATCCGCAATGGTCTCGAGGGCAAGACCAGCGGTGAAGAGGAAGACAGCCAAGCTATGGAACGTCTCGGGGAACTCCGTGAAAGCAGACGACCGCGCGCTAGTCAACGGCGCACTAAAAGGCAACGTAAACGGCAAAGCAATGAGTGTCTGCAGCGCAGCCTCGGGCAAGAACATGCTGAAGAAGGCCTTGTCCCAGAACTTGGGGTCCTTCTTCTTCAACGCGACGTAGCGGTCGTCGTCCTTGCCACGCTTCACGCTGCGGGTGGCGATGCGGTAGAATAGACGGGCACCCCAGGCGCTAATACCAGTGAGGAGCAGCTTCTGGGTGTATCCGAGAGAGTTCCATGCCGAGGGGACTGACAGACCATCGTGAACTATGCGGGCGCCGATGGCGGTCCACCAGGCGTTGGCGACTTGACCAGAGGGCCACAGCCAGTCTTTCGTGTCTGCGCGGTCGGTGTACCGCGCGACGGCGTAGACTACGGTGCTCAAGCCGGCGTGGAGGCCAAAGGATGGGAGTAAGGCGTTTTGTACGAGGCCGAGGGTTGATGTTGTAGCCGCATTGACGGGGTTGCTGGGGTGGAGGCTGAAGTGCGAGCCGTAACGATCCTGCTCGGCACCGGAGACTCTCGGCAGTCTTCTTGAGATCCCCTCTGCAGCTGGACCTGCCTTGCCGCCAAAGTGGGCTCCGAAGCGGTCTTGCTCAGCTCCCGAGGCGTGGGGGAGGTGTTCGTTAACCTTGGATCCGGAGGGCAGCTTGTCGCTGCCGAACCAGCCGCCGAAGCGGTCCTGCTCAGCCCCGGACGTCTTTGGGATCTTGTCCTTGATGTCCGAGGCAGACGGCAACTTGTCGCCTCCGAACCAACTTCCAAACTGATCCTGTTCTGCGCCAGTTCCCTTGGGCAGCTTCTCGTTGATCTGGGAGGCAGAAGGCAGCTTCTTCTTGATCTTGTCCGTGACCTGATCGACAACGCCCTCCCAGTGCGCAGCGTACCGGTCCTGCTCGGCGCCCGAGGCACTGGGCAAGTGTTCCTTGACCCAAGTGCCGGCGGGCTGTCCCTTGTTACCACCGAACCAGCGATCATACCGATCTTGCTCGGCGCCAGACACACGTGGCAACTTCTCGCCGAGCTTGTCGACAGAAGGAAGCTCGTGGCCGCCAAACCAGCCCTCGTAGCGATCTTGCTCGGCCCCAGAACCCCGCGGGAGGTTCTGTCTCAGCTTCTCGGCAGCCTGGTCTCCCTTATTTCCGCCGAACCAGCCTCCGTAGCGGTCTTGTTCGGCACCGACGCCTCGGGGCAGGTTCTCTTTGATCCTGTCCGCAGCGTGCTCGAGCTTCTCGGTGGCTTTGTCAGCTTTCCCACCGAACCAACCCCCATAGCGCTCTTGTTCGGCGCCGGCGCCGCGGGTGAGGTTCTCCTTGAGTCTGTCGGCGGCATGTTCAATCTTTTCGGTAGCTTTATCGGCTTTGCCACCGAACCAGCCGCCGTACCGATCCTGCTCGGCGCCTGATGCCATGGGCAAGTGTTGTGCCGTGGGGATTTCGTTAGTATTGACGCCTAGGCGGGCATTGTAGCCCTCTCCCCGGTCCGTCATTGTGCTTTGGATTGTCGTAGACTGGACTCAATGGTATCGTATGACGAACGTAAGGAAACCGTCAATGAAACTTTCGATGGGAAGGGAGAAGAAGAGAAGGGGCAGAGGGTACTAGATAGTATTTGAATGGCACATGTAAACAGGGAGGAGGGGAAGCTCCGGAACGAGCTGTGGTGGCATGTTTCCGAATGGCCCTTACATCTGAAAGCTGGAAGCTCTGAGCTTACTTACAGCTAACTGCTACCTACCTCCCCCAATTCGCCTCTAAAGCTGTGCTGTAAGGATGACGTCTACCCCGCGGTAGGGCGGGTTACCCCTTGTTCCTCGACGTCACTGGGCGTCCCGATCCGATGAATTGGCTGATGCGGTTAGCTTCGCAGGTCTGGGTAGTACCACTGCAAGTCTTCTCGTCACTCGCTTCAAAACAGCAAAGCTTCTGTAAAGAATTGAACATGATACGAAAACTGATAGATTATTGTATGGATCCTCTAGATGTCTAGCTCAATACATAGCTTAGGGATTGCGCCGGATGCTGTTTGTGAGGCTTCTCAATGAGAGAGACGACTCACACGATACTTTCATTACCCAAGGTACGTACGCACAGGAGTTCACTAAAATTGCGGGGTCTGCTGGTGCAGATCGACGAGCACCTGCATTCTTGGCCAGGAACATGGGCTGACGGATCCTCTGCTCGGACACGGCGGGTATCCAACCCCAGGTTTCGTACAATATCTGACATGACGGATAGTCAAAGTCTCCAAAAAGCTGTGCTTGGCGTAAAATAACAAGAGCACCTGTATACTTATTTTAAAAGATCACTGTCGCACCGAATGACGAGTGGAAATGTGGTATTCAAAGAGGCAGAGAACAATATCACACGGATTTTCTGGGTATCTACAATGTCATAATAGAAGCCTCGGTATCCCATATGACCTAGCAAATACCAAATCAAAGCTTATGTTCAAACAATAACAAATGGGGAATAATCAAACAATTTTACTTCCAACCGGCTGAAACCGAAAGCAGTGCGCGACGCCGGTTCCCAAACGCCAAACACCACTCCATTTCCGCGCCCCCAACCCGATGAAGAACAAAAGAAACATCCTAAAAGGAGACAGAGCAGAACGGCAAAGAATCAAAACCAATTACCGCCGCCGTGGCCCCCATATCGATCGTACTCTGAAAACCCAATCTGCGGAGGCGGGAACATGGGCGACACAATCTCTGTCTTGCGCTGCCCGTCCTCATCCAGGTACGTCGCCGAGTCGAGAATCAAATCAAACAGCGTCTCCTCTTCGCTCTCGTCCACCGAGACAGACGGGTTCGGCGAGAACGGCGGCGCCGTCGTCGGGGCTGTATTCAAGCTCGTATTGGTTGTCGCGCTCGTGGTGGTACTCCTCGCGGTGGTACCGGCAACACCACCAACACCACCACCTGCCATCGGCAGACTTAGTCGCTCAGACTTTGCCGACGCCTGTGATGAAGCCCGCGAGTACGAACTAATCAACTCTTCAAGCATCCGACAACTCTTGCAGAGGATCCCAATTCCCGAGTCGGAGAACCTACACGTCAACTTCAGTGTTCCCTGCGCCGCAGCCGAGGAACTGCTGAAGTGGCGCTTGTCTGAGAAGATGTCTTCGCCCGGTCGGAGACTCTCTCTCATGTTGCACTTGCTGCACCGGATGTCTGCTGTCGTGTTGCTATTGCTAGATTCACGGTAGCCGCCGGCGCTGCTCGGTGTTGACTCGACACCTGAAGAGTACTCTGCGTCCGAGTGGGCTTTCGGTGAGGTGTCGTGTTCCGAGACTGGGCTAGGGCCCATGTCAGAGTGCTCTGTCAAGGCTGATATGCGCGGGAACGGTATCGTGAGCATTGTTGGGACTGGAAGCGTTGCGGCCCGTGTCAGCTTTTCCCGCCTCGTTTCGTTGCTGTTGCTTGTCTGGCGTTGACGTTGACGTTCGAGGCCGGGGCCGTCCCAAGCCGCACCCTTGGTTTCATTGACCGCAATCGTAGGACCACGCTGAATGAATCGTTGTAGACTCCTGGTGCTGGAGCTGGATGCAGACGACAGGTTACGTGGTCGACCAGTTGTTGTGTCCAGTGACGCTGATGACTTTCCCGCGTGAACAGGCGGCTGATTGCGACAAGAGATGAAGACGCTTCTGAGATGCGCTTCAACATCCAGGGATAAGGACGCAGTGATAACGGGTATCTGCGCGGAAAACGAGCCGCTGTCGGCCGATTGCGAGGCGAGAAACCGAAGCCGTTCCTCCAAGCTAGCCTTCAAGTTGGACATGTTGCCGGCAGCAAAGACTTCCTGTTCTACCAGCGGCAGCTCTACGGCGGGCAAGGCAACTTAAGCCTGTCAGTGAATATGTTTGCATTCTTGGATCTAGAATACTCACCAGGCTTCGGTACCATTCTGTCAAGAGGGAATAGCCACCTCCACAGCTCATCCCACGAGTCGAAAACCTTATTGCCCATCTGTTCAGATAGTTTCTGTGCTTTCATACTACTGAGGCCATCTTCTGGATCGGCCCATTCAGAGTCGCCATCCGATCTTGGTTCGCACATTTGCTCTCTAGGTAGCATCAAGTGTTGCTTGAATACGTTGGGCTCCGAGAAACCATCCTCACACCGCGGGCACTGAAAGAGGTGAGCATCGCCGCAACGCTTATGATCCTTTGCGATATGCTTCCTAATGCCATTTAGTTATTGCTCGCTATTCTGCCAATGATTTGATACTTACTGCAAGTCTGCGAAATCTTTCCATTTTCCGTTGGCGCAGTGCCACTTGTCATTGACGTTGAATCGTGCCGGATTTCGCAGCCTGTAAGGGCATGGCAGCAATCCACCTTGGCCACTGCTTTCTCTTTGATTATTCGAGGAATAGTAGTCGACAATCGATGACCCCCCGCTGGACCTTGTATCCTGCTTGGAAGACTGCGCGTTGCGTTCGTCTGTCGCGGCCATCTTCATCTGACCACCAGCTCTGCCTGCGGTCTCCTGGAGCGACTTCGATTCCAGAGCCAGACGGGCTTGCGCAGGCCCTCCGCTCCCACTGTCAGCGCCTCCTGTCTGTGCAAGACGGGAGATGTCTTCGAGACATCGTGCTACAGTGTCCCAGACTTTGAGGGGAGTCGAGGATCTGTCGGCGCCAGCGCCAAATTCCTCGTCCAATATCATGGAACAGATACGAGACACCAATGGCTTCTCACCATCTGGTAGAGCATCGTTCGACGCCTTGATGTCCTTCCGATAGCTTTCCAGGTTGGAGTCTCTTGGCGGCAAACGTGCAGGTTGATTTTGTGAACGGCTCTCACTGGGCTGCTCATGTTTAGGATGGGCTCCAAGCCTAGTTACCAGGTTAGCTGGCCAACGTTGAAGATGTTGTCCTCGATGGGCACGCATACCTAGGCATCTCCGGCTTCCTTCCTTTTGATGGGGTCGCCGGCATGCTCATGGAGTGCGTCGGCCTAGACGGTGTCTGTGGTTCCGACGAAGGGGGAGCTTTGCGAGGCGTGCTGGCTGACGTCTCTACGCCGCCAGCTTTAGAAGAATCAGAGGAGTCTTTGCGTTTCAAGAGAATCGAGTCTCTTAGCGGCAGACGTCGACGCTTAGGTGAAGTCTGCTTGACGTTCCCAGATCGTACAAGGCCCCGTGGCGGAACGGGAAACTCCCAGGAGTCGTGAACCAGCCGGTTCTCTTGGTCCTCCTCCTGACTCTTCTTGTCTCGGTGTCCTTCTCTGCTATGTGACAGGATGCGCAGCGTCATAACCGGGCTTCGGCTTCTGTCAAATGGCCTCGTCGACGAGCTGTAGACGCGTCCCGAAGAGGCACTCGACCGCTGAAGTGGGACAGGCGGCACAGCAGTCTTTGGTGCATCTTCTGGTGAGGTATACCTTGATCGAATGGTAGGTCTGCTGACTGGCAGCGGTGGGCGGTACTGCGTTTCGACTCTGGTTCTTTGACCTGGCGCAGTTGTTCCCCGTGATCGACTACTGGATGGGTGTTCCGGCCGGCGTGGCGGGATCTGCTGCTGATGCGTGTGCAGGGGGTTCATGTTGGGCATCCTGTGATGGTCTCTTGCCCCTATCCCTGTTGTTTTACGTCTTGCGTATTGAACATGAGCTTGAAATCTTCAGCGCAGAATACCGCTGGCACAACCAAGCACAACTATGCCTGTGAAGAAAGACTCGTTCGAGAAAGAACAGCGACGAATCACGAAACGAACAGCGTGTAGATTGAAACCGAATTTCACGAAGCAACAAACACCATGGCCAGGGCCAGCCTGGTGGGGGATCTGAACAGTCATATGTCCTCGCTTTGTGTACGCCGGCAGCTTCATGCTTTGGAGGGATGAACATGCAGAACATGCTCAAGAGGGCGGACGGCACGACTCGGATCCAACAGACAACCTGTCACTAGTCCCATCGTTAGTCAAAATCATTTCAGACACTGATGCGCAAGACGGGATCCCGAGACTCGTTGACTGCATCGCACCCATTGGCCCGAAGTCGAAGGGAGAAGCGAGCCGAACTAAGACGGGAGTCTAAGGGTCGATAACCAAGACAAGGTCTCAAAGTCCAGCCTGCGGCGGGGCATCTGTGGCACCCCAAAACAGTCCCTTTTTCGACAGCTTTGCCAGTCAAGCCAGTGACCATTGGACTGCTAGGCTCTAGCATATCCCTTCCATTGAGCACGACACAATAGAAGAGGTTGGACTCCCTCGATGGCTGGGCCTCGACACACCATAGACCATGTGCAGGGCAACTTTGCCAGCGAGATTCATCTTCCAGATGACGATGTTGACTTTTGTGGCAGAGTAGCAACAACCAAGACCTGCATCGCTCGATGACAGATCATGTCCCGTGGCCCATGGGCATAAAAAAAGTTTGATTCCGCCGTATCTGATGATCAGATCATCGGCGGTGTTGTCGCGGGGGAAGCGTGCGATGGTTGTCAAGCCGACCTCTGTCGAGAATGACCAGCAAGGCGCCGTTACACAATGTCGTCTTCGCCGGCATAGACTTTTTCATCGGGCATCTTGAGGCCATGAGTATCTTGCGCTTTCGTGGCCCTTCGTGTCACCCCATTGTCCCATTGACGAGATTCCTTGGCAGACATCTCGACATTGGTGTAAGTCAAGATGCTCTTGGTTTCATCGACGACAAAGTCGCACCCGTTCCAGTGATGGCATTCCCAGTGTTGGATGCGCACGCCTTGAACTTGCAAGTTACACCAGAATTTGTAGGAAATTGTGTCGAAATCCGGCCGTGAGGATGCGAGTCTTCGGTAGTCCCGCGACATCGTATTCCTCAGCGGGTAAAACAACAGATAGACGGGATGAACGAGTAGACCTGGGGCTGAAAGATGGAGAACCGAGCAATGGCGAAAAGCAAAGTCTCGCAGCACTCAGCCGTCGTGTTGGTGGGTGGTGGGGGGCTTCCAGGGCAGGCAGGCAGCGGCTTATCTTATCGGAGCGCGCAAGCTCCGGTTCACCTGGAGGTCACCGTAAAGGTACGTACTGCGAGGCTCCTGGAAATGCGCGAGAGCCCATCCCATAGGCGGCCATGATCAACATTCAAGCCCATCGGGAAATCCAACATCGCAACGAGGCTACACAAACTCAATCGATATCGAGCCATCTTCTTCAGCACCGCATACCAGTCACTCGTTTTGATCCTCAGAAGTGTTCGATCTCCACGCAAGCCCCAGGACTCCCCGGCAACAAATCGCGTAACCAAGAATCCGACGACACCGAAATTCCCAATTGCTGAACACCACCACACCCAATCCACGAACCCCTCCTCACCACGTGCTGAAGAGCTCTCCAGATCGCGAGCACAGGGTAGCCTATATACAACATGGCTGACGCCGGCTATACCAATGGCCCAGGCAACACGCCCCTGGCTGAGGTCAAGAAGCCCAAGAAGAAGAAGGTCCTACTCATGGGAAAGAGTGGCTCGGGAAAGTCGAGCATGCGAAGCATCATCTTCAGCAACTACATTGCCCGTGATACCCGGAGACTGTAAGCCCTCTTCTCCTATACCTGGTGGTTCTTTTAGCTATTTCGTCCGTGTAGAGACTAACCACGGAACCAAACAGCGGCGCAACAATAGACATCGACCTCTCCCACGTCAAATTCCTCGGAAACCTCACCCTCAACCTCTGGGACTGCGGCGGCCAAGAGGCCTTTATGGAAAACTACCTCTCCCAGCAGCGCGTCCATGTCTTCTCCAACGTCGGCGTCCTCATCTACGTCTTCGATATTGAGTCCCGCGACATTGACCGCGACCTTGCAACCTACGTTTCCATCATCTCCGCCCTCCTCCAATTCTCCCCGGGCGCCAAGATCTACGTCCTCATCCACAAGATGGACCTCGTCGTCCCCGCCCACCGTGAATCCGTCTACGACGACCGCGTTCGCGTCGTCCGCCAGCGCACCGCAGAGTACGCAAACAGCATCGGCTACCTCCACCAGCAGCATCCAGACGCCGCCGACGACCCCACCAGCCCCTCGACCGCGCCCCCCGCCGGCGGTTTCGACATCACTCCCTTCGCCACCAGCATCTGGGACCAGAGCCTCTACAAGGCCTGGGCGAGCATCATCCACGACCTCGTCCCCAACCTGGCCACGATCGAACGCAACCTCGCCAATCTCGGCGTCGCCATCGAGGCAGAGGAGCTCCTCCTTTTCGAGCGCACCTCCTTCCTCGCCGTCTCCTCCTGGACCTCGGAAGAAGGCCAGCGGAACCCCACCGAGGACAGGCTGGAGCGCATGTCCAACATCATGAAGCACTTCAAGCAGACCATCAGCCGCTTCACCGGCACCCCGCGCAACGCAGAGCAATTTGTGCGCATGGAGCATAAAGCCGGCACGCGCTTCAACCTCTTCATCCTCAAATTCACGACGAATACCTACCTGATGGTCATTCTGCCACCCGGCGAGGCTAGGTTCAACGCCGCCATGCTCAACTGCCAGATCGCGATTGAGCATTTCAAATTCCTAGACGGTCCGGCTACCATGATCTCGCAAGGCGGCGGCAGCACAGCATGAGAGTATTCCAAAGAGGGGCTGTAAATAATGCGAACCTCGCGGATCTGTTTCTAGTTGGTTTATACGTATCGGCAACAAACAGTTTGCCGCAGCGGCGTATGGCAAGGGATGATTAATGATACCATTTGAAGGGGCGTTGAAGGACCTCAAAACTGTACAGCAAATAAGTACATGTACGCTTAGCACAAAGGTACTTTGGCAGCAAGCAATAAAGGACTTGCCGACCTGATGTTACTGTTTCATGTGGGCGTGTCTATTTCTCAAGCAAAGTCTACATTCCACGCAGAGGCAAACGGCCTCAAATGCCCAGACCCAAAGCCACCCGGCTATAATGCGGGTCAGGGCCCCAAAGTACCAAACGCCGCCCGGTTCCCGCCATTTTCTTTTCCGTCTGCCTCGTGCATTAAGCCCACTTGACGACCGCGGTGCCGCCCTTCTTGAACTCAGACATCTCGCCCAACACCAAGCTGCGATCGGTGTGGTCCTTGTTGGGGAAAGTCGTGGCCAATACCCAGGACCTGTTGCGGGTATCCGCAGAAGCGCGCTGCACAAATTCGTAGACGTCATTGATGGTGTTGGTAGTGTTGAAGCGAGCAGGCAGTCTGGTGCCATTAGGCAACTGGATACGGAGGGTCAGGGTAGGCTGAGACTCATCGACAGCCTGCTGAGGGCCAGTCGAGCTGGCACTGGCCGAGGCCGAAGCAGCAGGGGCGGCTGTGGTGGACGAAGAGCTGCCCTCACCGGGAACGGGGCTACCGAGCCGGCGACCCTCTCCGCCGAACGGCTTGTATGTCTTGGGCAACGGGTGGTAGTTCTCCTGGTGTTGATGAAGCTTCACGTCGACCGGCTGATCGTAGCGAACATTCATCAAGTGCAGAGGGGCTCTACCAGCCCGAATCATGTTGAGATCCATCGCATTCTCGGGGTCGTCGAATCGGTGAAGTTCGCCATCGTCAATGCTGAAGCCATCCTGCCACAGGTGCAGTGTACGCTCCTGAGGCTCGCCGGTCGCGCCCGCTGAGCCACCCGCACCCTCCTGAGCATCAGGGTCGGGAATACTGCGGCTCTCGGAGCCCTCGCCACCCAACGTGGTGCCGCTTCCGCGGAAAGCACCGGAGCGCGAAGGGCCCGCGGGTGATGCAGTCTCTGGCCGGGATGCGTTCCTGATCTGCGTCAGTCCTGTCGTCCTCGTAGCATTCTCTTGCATTGTGAACTTACGCCTTGGCCTTGGCGAGGATGTCGCTGATGATCTTCTTAGCACCACCGCCCTCTTGTTGAGACGGGTCCTGCACAGCCAGTCCAGACTTTTCACCGCCAGCAAAGAGGTCGCCGCGGCCTCTGTCATCGTCGTCCTCGTCATCTTCATCGTCATCGTCGTCGTGTGCGTGGCCGCCTCCAATAGAGCTAAGCGTTGCGAGACCCTTCTTCTTAGGCGCTGCCTTCTTTGCGGTGCTCGCTCTGCCGACCGACTCGGGCGCGGGTCGTCCATCGAGGGTTCGGGGACCGGTGTATTCGGCGGGAGCAGGAGCAGAAGCTTGAGCCTGCGCAACGGGTTCGATTTCTTCCTCACCGGAGTCGTGGTCGGCGTAGTAGGCTTGGGCGGCAAGGCCGATGTCCCAGTTTGCGGATTCGAGGTACTCTGTGCACTTAACGCAAAGTTAGTCAGGTAATTCACCACGCTCTTCCCAAACACCTTACCCTAGCTTCGGGCATGCCTGTCAGGCTCTTGAAGTCGCGAAGTATATTGTTGCGCGAAGCGCTGTTGGAGCTCCCAGACATGTTGGCGGTACTGGATGTGGTATGGCGGGGGAGGGTGAGGTGTCGATGGGGAAGGATGAAATGGACGGAAGATGAAAAGAGAATTGGAGTGGTCTTTTAACCTAGTGTATAACGGTGTGGTCGTTTAATAAGGTAGGTAGAGATATCAACAGTGAATCCGTGATCTTTTTGAAGCTCAGTTTTCTTTGAAGGTTGCGCTGTGCAGTGGTTGAAAGGCGAAGTGGGAGACGAATAGCAGGCAGCTTAGTGGTCGTAACTGCTTCCACGGGCATTGGAGCTGCATCCGTAACGAAAGGTACCTGGCCGTCTAGCACATTCCCTGTGACGTGAGGGAGGAGCCACCGCCCATACCGACTGCCCCAACCCCACCATAGGTACACCGCCACATTTGCAACTTATCTAATCTCTCCAGATTGTGGCTGAAGCTTCGACAAGAAAGTCGAATACTTACGCACAGACCCCACAGACTGCAGCAACACGTTGGGGGAGGTGGCAGCTGCGGTGTGATTTTCCGAGGTGATGCCGTAGCCGTAGCTCCCCGTCCCATCATCGAACTGCCCTGCGCCGAATCTCGGTAAACCTGCTCGTCGACCAAGTTTCCAATCATCCCCACGATCACTACCTTCCGAACCCCCAAGCCAGCGTCGACTATGGCTTCCGACGACTCCCTCCACCCCCTTGCCGAGTCCGGCGTGACGATCCGGTCCGACAGCGAGCAGTACTCTCAAGGCGAGGATCTCACCGAATCACCTCCCTCGTCCAACTCGCCCATCATCCTCTACAAGCCGCCTACGTTCTGGGGCCTGGTTCGCGGGGCCGCTATCAACCTGTTCCTCCCCTTTATCAATGGCATGATGCTGGGATTCGGAGAGCTATTTGCACACGAGGCTGCCTTCAGGCTAGGATGGGGCGGCACCAAGGTACGAAACGGACTTGTTAGACGCTCGCATACATGCATCCCCAGAGCATGCGCATACTGCGAGATTTCAGCCGAAGATGGCGACACATGTTGCAATAGTATCTAACACACATATTACAGGTGTTCCCCTTGTCCCGGAGAACGGCGCACGCTATTGGCCCCGGCCTTGAGATTCGCGACAAGCACCGGAGGCCCTCTACCGGTCTCGACGATTTGACGAGCTTGGAGTGACTAGGCGGGTGGGAATGAAAGCACGAGTGCACCTATGAAGACGGGATATTTCCGACCGCGTGTGAGGTCGCAAGCTGCTCTAAGGAAGACAACAAGAAACGACGGCATCCCTCAGTGACAGAAAGCTACTGCAAGCGGTGTCGGAATCATTACAAACAATGTCCAGCCAGATATACTACTTACCTAGGCAAGGCTACATACATCGGCGTACGGGGAGAGTAGAGGCATTTACAAAGTACGGCCCTTGGACAGATGGTGTTGGTGTGGACCAGGTTACAGTGACGAGTTCAAGACTCGAGGGTCGTACATATGCAAGGATCAAAAGAAACCAAAATACAGCATGTTCCCTCATTTATTGATGGTTAGCCAACAATGTCAGCTTTGCGAATTTCCCCATAACTACACAGCTACAATCGAGCCTTCCGGTGTCATGGATATCCAATGCTGACCTTCCTGAGTCTCGTCCCCCAGACTCAACCTGAGTGACTCTCCCCTGGCCGCGGAACGGAGCCGGAGCTTGGACCCGCTTCCCGTCCCACCCGACATTTCCCCGGCGCGTCTGCGGTTCCAATGGCGAGGTCCCCAAAAATTTCCAGCAACTCGCGCTGAAGACAGAAAGACGCTGACTGGAGCGTCAGTCTGCAATTCTCAACACCCTCCCAACCCTCCTCCCTCAGAAACTGCCCACCATGCTGCCCAGCAGAGGTGTTCTTCGTTCGCTGCCCTCCACGAGAGCGGCCAGCAGCATAACCCGCCAAAGTGTACATTCTTCCTCTCCCACCCTCTGCCTTCGGAATCCAATGCGCATCAAGTACTAACGTGCAGTGACCAGATCTCCCGGGCACCCAGACGACTCGGCGATGGACGGCAATTTGGAACCTCGATTCGCAACGGCAGTGCGCCCTGGGCGGCACTGAGATCGACCAACTTCAGACCAGGTGGCCTTGCCGGCACAGTAGCCATCGGCGGCTCCCTCGAGACGAGAAGAGCAATCTCCCTCTGGGACAAGTCTGAGCCCCAGCCGACACCATCAGCACCGTCACCAGTCGCACCAGCTGCACCGGCTACCCCCGTTGCGCCCTCAGGGTCCGTCGACGCAGCCTCAGCATCCGCTTCATCTATCCCTCCTTCCGCACCGGCCGCACCTGTCGCACCCGTCGTCCCCGAGGCCGCAGCCCCCTCGACCTCTTCCCTTCCCGAGCTCGATGCCGCCTCCCTCCTCGATCTCCCCGAACAAATCGGCTTCCTCAAGACCCTCGGCCTCGACTTCGGCTGGGGCCCTTCGAGCGTGATGCAATGGGCCATCGAACACGTCCACGTCCTCTCCGGCATGCCGTGGTGGGGCTCCATCGCCGCGACGGCCATCCTTCTCCGTCTCATCATGTTCAAGCCGCTCCTCAAGTCCCAAGACACCTCGGCGAGGATGCAGAAGCTCCACCAGGATCCGGCCTACGACGAGACCCGCAAGGCGATGCAGGAGGCCATGGCGAGCGGTAACTCGGCCGCCATGACTGAGGCCCGTCGCGACCTGTCCATGCTGAACAAGCGCGCCGGCGTGAACCCCCTCAACGCCTTCTGGGGTCTCCTCCAGATCCCCTTTGGATACGGCATGTTCCGTGTCCTCAACGGCGCTGCCAGCATCCCCGTCCCCGGCATGGAAACTGGTGGTTTCCTGTGGATCACGGATTTGACCGTCTCTGACCCTTACTTCCTCCTGCCTATTGCCGGTCCGATGGCCATGTTTGCCATGGTCAAGGTACGTGAAACCCAGGCGACCCAGCTTGCTTCAATCTAGATGCTAACATGTTGAGTTTCAGCTCGGCTCCAAGTACTCCACGCCTCAGGCCAAGGCCCAGCAAAAGCTGATGATGTACATCCTCGGACCCCTCTCCGTAATCTTCACCTCGTACCTCCCCGCCGGCGTCCAGTTCTACTTCTTCATCACCGGTCTCATCGGTGTCGCCCAGAACTGGCTCTTCTCCAAGGCCGCCTTCCGCTCCCTCTTCAACCTCACACCCATCGCCACTCCCGGCCCTGCCATCGGCACCACTGCCGGCCCAACCAGAATCGCTTCCGGTCCCACACGTCTGAACTACCAGGCCCCGCGCACGACTCCTGCCCCCGCAACCCCTGCGGCTGACGCCGGCAGCATCAAGGGCATCGTCGACAACTTGAAGCAGACCGTGCACAACGCCAAGGGCGGTGCCGGAAACCACCTCGAGGCCGGCCGCAAGCGCGAGGCGGAGAAGGCTGCTAAGAAGTACGCTGAGCAGAGAGGCGAGCAGGAGAGACAGAAGTTCTGGAGCGAGACACGGAAGAAGTAAATGATTGCGTTTTGGGGTTGTTATACTGGTGATCAGTACCTGACGGTGGAAGAGCATTGACTGGGATCACCGTACCTTGCACTTGTAATATATCAAAAAGAAGACGGACGGAAAACTCCCGAGTCATGTGGAAGAGAAGGAGTTTCGAGATACTGTACCATATGGGTGTAGAACAAAGACAAATCATCTGGGTACCATGCTGCCACAATGCAATAATAGAGAATTACTCTCCTAAATTTCATGTCGCCGATCACGGTGAATTGCGACTAATGATGTCCATGAAACGTCCAGGACTACCTATCCAGGACTCCAAAACTACGTTTCGGCTAGTTTCTCATCTTGGAGTGAAGATATGTATGGCAATAATATGAAGTATTGAAGCCTTATTGTCGTCAGCATTCAGATGCGTCACGGCTAATGCAAAGCCCAATCCTTCCTTGCTCTCGACGTCTCATGCACTAGAATATCACTAGGCCGCATACTTTCGATACTCGAGGGCTATTCCTGGGGCGTAATACTCACAGAGGGCAAAAAAAGGTCATTCATAGGGAATTGAACCAAAAGCATTGAGCGAAGGTTGAGGGCGGTCAAGGAAGAATGGATTCCACTGGCGCCTCCTTAACCACTTGACCACCTGCCCCTTTCGCTTGTGATAGCATGAGACAAGAGGACGATCAACTACCCTCCCATCTCCTTCCTGCTAGGTACCTGAGGCATATGAGGAAGGTAGCGAGAGGTGGTGGCTCATTGACCGTACCTGCCTCGATCTATAACCCGCGCCTCCAATAGGATCGTTCTTTCTATATCTCCTATGACTTCCCTGGTGCCTGCCTTGCCTTGCCTTATATCCAGATCGAGGTCGCTCTTTCGTCAACCAAGCCCAATCGATCCCCATGGTCGAGCGGTATAACGCCCTGGTCCGTTAGTAACGAACTTGGTATGAAATCTCGAGAAGTCGCAATAGATGGAGGATTTCGTAGGGGGTCCAGTTCAATTCACGAACTGGGCACCTGAGCTTTTGCTTTTCTGCTCCTTTTGACTTTCAGATATGTGCCATTCAAGGCATCCACCAAGATATGTGAAGTAGTTCGAGTGTATTTGCCCTCTGGTTCTCGGACCTGCTTCGGCCCATAAGGTACTCACACGCGAATATTTCAAACTCGCTCCATCTGAGGATATCTTTGGTATATGCTCACGAGAATTTGATGCACGTGACTCATTCACCGCTGTGAGATACCCATCAGCAAAGATGGCCGCCAGAAGTGATGTTTTCGCATTATCTCGTCGATGGATAATAGGTGCTTGGAGTCATGGATGTTTCTACACACCTCGTCTAGTCCCGAATGAACATTTCAAGCACAAAGAGTCGTCAACTTCATGTTCGAGCCCATAGCCAAGTTCCCCATCGGCCCGGCTCCATTCGATGCGCATGCGGACGGATTTGGCGCCTCTGGTCTTTGTACTGACATCGTCACAGTGGCCTTCAGGTCGCGGGCTTCTCTGGCTTTGGCCGTCTTGGCGAGGATAGCCGTTACGATACATCCATGTTGAAATTCCAGGTCTAATCCTAGTCTTCCGAGCGACGACTGCATGTCACTGACAATTCTGGATACCATAGATGAAAGGCCATCAATGAGAAGCGTCACCTTCTGATTGCAGTCCCCCTCCCCCTTTTCTCGCTCAACGCTCTTAGGTGACAGCTCTTTTCCCGTCGTTATGGAGACTCGAACATACTTTTCTTGGGCTAAGAAATCATACATTGGCACAAGAGTTGGACGTGACGAGAAAGACATCGGCCGTGGTTCTCTCTTCAACTTCGAGCTGCGTGGCCTTACTTTACTAGACTCGGCGATGATGCAGCAGACGCTCTGGGATATGAGTGTATAAGAAAGCATCTCCATGGGATAAGGGCATACTGCAAGGCACCTGCCGCTAGACCAGTCACCATCAGGTAACCACCGTGGACAAGTCGCGGGAGAAACGTAGAATGCCAAATGTCGGAATCAACTCCCCGAGTCACATTCATCATAAACATCTAATCTAGAGTTTACAGAAGCTAAAAATAATCAAAACACTTAATACCAACTGACAAAAGAGTTCACCCCCCCGGTGCCGATTTGGGGGCTACATCTCTGGCGCTCATGCTGGGATTCGAACTCGGGTACTCGCTAAGCCTGTCGTCGAGTAGGCTGGTTGGCGTTAAAGTTGACCGTCGACCTTGAACCATTCCACCACCCACGCCACAGTTTGACCTGACCCCCGACCTAGAGGGCGCCTGCTGTGCTGGTGACGGAATTGGACTTGAAGGGGGGTATATACCCTTCCTGCCTGTGGCAATGGCCTAGTGCAGAGGGATAGGATGAATACACGTAGCGGAGACGAGATCGTGATCCCTCAGGGTGCTGGTGGTGATTGTTTTGGGTACCCGGCGCGTCACCTGGGCAACCCCTTCTACCACGCTCCTTCCACCACAGTCATCAGACTTTTTTCACTGGCAACGAATAGGTACGTGAGGCGAGAACATGGCATGGGGCTTCTTACCTATTATCTAATGTTATCTCCGTACTACACTTTTCTCCATGGCCCACCAGTAAACGAGATATCGCATCTTCTGGCATTTCGGACTAAAGCCCGACAGAGACTTCCACTGGTCAACGATGGGCGAGATCTTTTACTGTGAAATGCCATGATATGTCCATGTACAAATCTCACGACCATCTCAGCCCTCTCTCAGTGGAGACTTTGCCCTAGCTTCATCGCCTGTTACCCGTCCGCCGTTTGGACGCGCCGACCCGTTGACTGCCCTGCTCCCGATTTCTCAGCAGAGCACCTGCGATTGATACTTGTAGCAGCACAGGGTCTTCGGGGCTAGTCTATCCGAGTCTCGCAAACTATAAACGTGGTCGACTTGATCGCTGAAGTGAGATAACGGCTTGAGGCGGCGAGCCATTAGCAAGCCATTCGTGGCAAGACTGGTGCGGTGTATCAAGAAGAACCAACCACTCCGACACTGAACGCTGGCCTATACGTTATCGTGATCAAAGTAACCGAGTTGAGGAAGTTACTGAGAGCGACAAGTATGACTATGCTAGGGTGTCGTCTCCAACATTAAACGGTAATGCTGCGCATGATATCCTAAGCTACCTTGGAAGCAATTTAATCTCACAGCATTCGTTTCCATCAAACAAAGTTACTTGTCCATTTCAGTCAAGTCGATACCATAATACCCAAGTCCAGAAGCCAGTAGTGTTTCCAACATTGAGAGAAGAAAGGCGCTCTGGTAATATATCCTCATGCCGCGTCGACATTAACCTTCGTCTGGTCGTTCCGTCACTCCTAAAAATAGCGACAAGTTCGTCGGAACTCAACTCCACTTCGGTCGGCGGCGGTCGGCTCCGACCTCCACCGCAAGGGACCTCCCGTCCCGACCCACCCTGCCAAAGCCGTTTGCAAATTTTTGCAACCCTCAACCCACACCACCTCGCGCTCGCGCGGCCAAGGACGCAGAAACCGGCGCCCGCTTGCAACAATAACTGGTCTGGTGGTGTAGTTGGTTATCACGTCAGTCTAACAGTACGAGAGCCTTGTGTCTCTCCGCTCTGCCACACTGAAGGTCTCCGGTTCAAGTCCGGGCTAGATCATGCCATGGGCGATTGGTTTAGTGGTATAATGACCGCTTAGCATGCGGTAGGTCCTGGGTTCGATTCCCAGATCGTCCATCTTTTTGATCATCTCGACCTCGTAATGGTTTCTGTGGGCGTAGGATGTGGTTCTGAATTTCCGCAAGCCGGGAGGCGATGCCATCGCGCTTTCTGAATCCCGTATTGCCATGGTAAACAGGCACTCCGAAACTTTGACGGGAGTATGGATAGGACATATTCTGGCACAGGGTGCTCTGATGACCGTTCGTTGTCCTGATATCGAGGAATTTGTTCACATGGCATCCCGTCATAATCCCTAAACACACACCGTGGTGATCGACGACACCAAAGGTCTGAGCTTCTTCCGGCTACAAATGAGACACGGTCTAGTGACGACGTCAAATGTCCCAAGCAATAGACTGGGCGTTCGCCGAATGACCGAACAACGTCAAATTGGACCGGCGGGCGAACGCCGAACACCTTTGGTCACTAAACTGGCAGATCTTCTCCCTGGTGATCGTAGGGTCACGCCGACCGGTGACTAATTACTCATCGTGCTGGATATGTCTCACAGGCTTTGCACTGGCCAGCCATGCCAGCGCCGCATACGACTGGGTCAACTGCCGGCATAGGACACAGCTGATCTCACAAATGCGCAATGTCATAACGGAGTACTTGGGAGCGAGCGCCATCGAACCAGACCCTCGGTGCGCTCAGCATGGCCACCTCGTGGCAGCGTCGGGCAAAGCGGAGTTTTCTCCGGAAACGTGTTAGAGGAGGCGTGCGCCCTCGTCAACCAGCAAGCCTCTTTGCGTATTCGAGATGGGCTTGGCAGGGAGTCGAAAAGGAGGTCCAGCTGCCCAGCGAGATAACCCGAAAGCAGAAATATCGTCGATAGAGAGGCAGGCCGGGAGCGGAGCCATGCTGAAGTGCGCATGGGACAAAGAACATGGCAAAGTTCAACAGGCGATTTTAAATTGTAAGATTGGTTTTGCAGCTTCCCTTTCCGGCTAGCCGCCTTCGGTCTGGGGCTCTTCTTCAAATTCGAGAAGCTGGGCCATCCTTGGGGGCCGGGTCCAGGGCAACACTGAGCATCCTTGGGCCTAAGCTCCTCGATGACCGGGCCAAGGGCGGCGTCGTGATGGGAGCATTGAAAGGATATAGGAGGAGTGCAGTGGGCCTGATCATACTCGGTGTGGTGAAGAAAGTGGCACGAGCCGATGAGCGACACTGAGTTTTCTCTAGTTTGAGGCTCTACCAGATGTCATGATACGATATCGTCTCCGTGCTGCTGCGTTGAGGGCCCAGCAGCAAAAACTATGTCAGGCTGTCGTGCCGCAAACACGGACTGTCCTGATCTGTCGTTGAATTTGGCGTCCACCGAGCAAGCTGTCAGAAGCAACGCCAAGCGCGGTCGGATCGACGTGTTTCCACAGCGGAGGGATCCTCTTCGAAGGTCCTGAGCGCAAGTGAAAGCCAGAGAGTCATGAACTTGGTAGGCAATAGGGGTAAAGCTCCATCACTCTACGGAGTAACAAGATGATCAGGAGTCAATCATCATGGTCCTCTCACCTCGGTTTCGTAGTACGAATTTGCAGAAACTGATTTTTGAGACGTCTATTTGCTGTTGAGCAAACGCCCAAGGGTCCGGATGTCCGTGCTTGTGTGCCGAGAACACGAGGCAAAGTGCGCACGAGGCTCCTTTCATCCCGGTCTCGACACGTTTTTGTGCTTTCAAGTCCGTCCCTTGGAGTTTGTGGCGTCTCATGCGTTGGTTGGCACTTGGTTGGTTGGTGCGCGTTCTAGGGATGTACTTGACTAATTGTGCCTCCATTGAATCCCCAAGGACGAGGTGGGAGCTCCATGGCTCTTTTGAACCGGGAAAGGCCGTGGGCTGTGACAGAAGAGGTGAAGCCGTCCTGCGTCGCGTCATAGAACATCCGGTAGAGAAAGCAGGTGCTTGATGCAATCGAGGTCCTCGATGTGACGGTAAGTTGCTAGAGTCTGTCTGCGCATGCACATCTCGATGTGACCTTACGCCGTGCCGCAGACGTACTTCGTACGATTACTTGGTTGCCAGTGTACACCGTAGTGCAGGCTTTTAGCAAAAGGGATTGGCAGTTGGTTCATTTCTGCGAACAGCTCGCTGCGGCCCGTGGCCCAATGCTAAAACGTTGCGAGGCACCACTAGAGCAAATGGCTGCCAACTGTCCACAACCACCATGCGAACGTCTGAAGTCTGCTCTTTGGCTCTCAACTTTCGAGTCTGTAGGGCGGCGCACTGCGGCATGCAGCTAAAGTCCGGGCCATTCCAGAAACGTGCACAGTCTCCCGTACCTTGCAGACTTCGGCTGCACTGCAACACAGACCGGCCATCCTCCCATCCCACAGAGCCCAGGTCCCTGGTAAGGAGACTGTCAGTTTGAACCTTCCAGGCCCCCAGAGACAACAGAAGAAATTTTTTGAGATTTTTTCTTGGGAGAGACCCTCGAGGGTACTCCCTACCGGGTCGTTTGCTTTCCTGTTTGCCTGTCCGCAAGCCCGAGTGTCGATTGCGGTCAGCTGCAGGACCAAGTAGCCGAAGTGAGATGGACCTGGGACTTGCATGTATGCGCGGCGGCCGACGTTGCATCTGGGACTCGGGAGCAAACAACCTTCTCCTTTGCCAACCACCGTCCACGAACCAGAATGGCAGACATAGGTGGAGAAGGGGTAACGGCGAGCCGGCGACCAACTCTAGGCAGCCGACTTGGTTGAATTCTCTTCTCTCGACCTCGGTACGGAGTACGCTTATTTCGCAGGTTTCCTGCTGCTCGGCCCGGTGCGAAGACGCGTTGCGAATGATTGGCCGGGGACTTTACGGGACAGAACCAGACTGGAGCTGACTGTGATCCGTACTGCATAGGCATTGAGCAGCCAGGGCATCACATTTTCGACCAACCGAAGCCGCGAAGCAGGCAAGGAGGCGAGTGTGAGCCGTGGTTGATGGACCGGAGAGCAGGATGTGGTTCCGAGATGCCGGCGACGCTCACACAGGACGGTGGGCGCATGTAGGTAATGCATGGCCTAAGTACGTTTAGCAGGGCTTTTACTCCTCTCCGCGCCGCGATGTGATTTTCTGCCACGCCTGGCCCCCAAACCCCCCATGTTGGTTTCCACGACTTTGCGTTGTTACCAGCTTGCCATGGCAGCAATCGACTCGTTAAGGACCACTAGAAATCGACATTGCCCCAAGGGTCGGGCGAGTTATGGTCGTAATGGAGCATGATGAGCACACAGCGAAGTCGAGGGGCATGCTGGGCTGCAGGCAGCGGCAAACTCGCTACAGCTGTGTAGAGCTAGGCGTTTTCTTGTGTGCTTGGGCACGTTTTCGCCTCGGCCTCTAGAGCCCCATGTTGGTCGGTTTTTTGCGTTCCACTGGTGACTAGGGAGCTTTCCGTAGCGCCCCCGGCTCTGAATATGGGACCTATGGAACGATCGTACCATGATTACAGCTCGACTGGAGTCTGTCCATCCATACAAAGCATGGATGGGTTCAGAAAGAAGGAGAGAAAATCTCGACGAAAAGCATCGGTTGCCGGGCTCTATCGTAGCACGTCTATCGATCACACTGTATGGGTACAGCAGCCGTCATTGGGGCGTTGCAGCAAGTGTCATGGATCGTGGCCCTCTATTGGGGCGCCGCAGTGTTGATATGACTTGTCGCAGTCTCGCAGGTATGAGGCGTGGTTGAGCAACGAGGAGGGAGCATGATGATGCTGCAGTAGTCAGAGTCAAGACAATGTCATGGGCCGCCGGGAGTGATTCCGGAGGGGGGTCCCTTGCTTGACGAGGCGCATGCAGAAGAGATGAGGTCCCCTGGAGGCTGGCTGGAGAGTAAGCTTTGGGTGCAGATGAGGAACTGAATCAGTTGGTGATTTGCAGAGGTGGGCCAGATCAGCAGTGAGGTCGCAGCGATAGTGGTGTTGGTGGTTGTTGGTGGCGTGGTGATTGAGGATGACGATGGACGGGTGGGTGATGGATGAATGGGTATCCGTTAGGTGATGATCTGGGGAAGATGACGGCACCAAAAAGACACTGTGAGTACCTCGGTCAATCGGTCTGTGCATTCATTGAGGTGAGGGAGGTGATGGAAGGTGCACCAGTGGTGGCTTCCCTCGGGCGTCGATGCCATGTTTCTGAATGTGGAAGCTAATGGCGCCTCAATATTCTGGAAGTGTTGCGGTAGAGATGAGTAGCGGAGATAACGACTTGTTTGACCATGAAAGGGGCCTTTGGTAATATGCACCTATCTTTGCGTCTGGAAATAAATAGCGAAATGGAAGAAAATACTCATCTGAATTGGAAAACGCGTTGAAAGGTGGACACTCAGTAAAGATAGGTACATAGAGGCAAGTACTGAAGTACCCTGAACGTACTTCGCGGGACAAGTGTGGGACCGCAAGCCTTCCGCCTGTTGGCCAGACCGTCCGGTGTTCAATTGTCCAAAGTCCGCGTTGGTGGAGCCGAGGACCCACCCTGGCCGGGGCTGTCTAGCGGGCTGCAGACATTGGACGACACTTTTTTCGCCTAATTCCAATCCAGTGGCTCCATGCACTGAAAGCTTGAGGAGAATCGGAACCGACACACTGTGGCAGCTTCTCAGGTACAGTGATCAAGTGGAGACCCTCTCCATGTCCGAGCAGCTAGAGCCTTGAGCCTCGTACCTCGAAATTTCGACATGGGCCCTCTGCGACTCGCGAGTCTCTAGTGTAAGGTAGGCATATGCAGACGGCAGCATACTTCCATGACAACTCAACTCGAGATGTACATTTACCAAGATCTTTGTATGGAGTATTGATTGGTGGATATGCCTGGATGCAGACGCAAGACGGTAAAGTCCCTCATTGTATGTTGGTCCAGGATTCCCTGCAACGCCCCCGCCAGACTCTGGAGTCTTGTGGCTTCCTTCCCGTGCCGTCCCCAAGGTCGGGGACGAGTCTGACTTGTCTGAAGATCGGTTTGATGGCCTTGGGACCATTGTCTGTCCCTTGCGAGATGAGTCTGTAATAGTAGCCTACTAGGTGAGATCACGGAGTCCATTGAACTTGGGATGAAGAGAAAGAAATCAGGCATGGAAAAAGTACGGGATTTGACGCAAGTGAAAGGTTACTGGATGTGTAGGTACCTCCTCACGTCTCAATAGGTAAGGTACCTAGGACCCGGGAACTTCTTCAAGTAAGGTATCTCGGCCGTCCTCATATCCCAAGGAAGGTGCTTCGAATGCTTCATGGAGCATCTCAGGAAGGTAGGTAGGAAGGTAGGAAGGTACGTTACGTGGTGTGGAAAGAACGGGAAGGATGGAGTCGGGTGCGAGGCAAGTCCCCGGTACGTACTGTGCTGCCTTCCTTCCTTCTCTCCTTCCCATCTCTCAGGTTGATTCAGTCTGAAATTACCAAGATTCATCCCAAGTTTTCGATTTCACTCCATCAGAAACTTTCTCCATCGTACGCTCCATTTGTTTCTTCTTGACGCGAGATATACCAAGCCGAGAGCGCACTGGCAAACAGTTCTTTTTCCCGTTGGAAGGAGACAAAAAACAAAGCAAAAAGACCGTAGACCAGGGAGGGCTATTCCCGGTCGTCAGAGCTGCAGACAGACCCCGACCTATCGACCCAAGAAGATCCATTCAGTTGCAAGGTCGTAACTCGTACGCAGTAAGTCAAGGTGGCTCTTTTTCGATATTTTCTCTCGCTCGTCTTTTTGACTCTATTGCCGCGACGACCCCCAAGTCTGCCATCCCATCAGCCGTCCCCATCTTGCCCCGTCCCCATCTTGCTCCTTGTCTTCCTCGGCTTGCCTTTATGCCATCCGATCCTCGTCCGTCATTCTGCTCCTCCTTCTGCCCCATCCTGTCCCAGCTTTGAGGTAAGGTAGGGAGAGGTATCCGCACGGCGCAAGGTACATTACTTGCCTGCTTAATATCCGTACGGACACAGAGTACGGAGTACCTGAGGTATTCTGCTTTGCTTCGCCGCAGCTTTCTCTATCCACGCCCACCTCACACACCCACGGCTGTCCCCACGTTCCTGGCCTCGCCTGGGCCGCGCATCGTCCCCAATCGACAATCCGCGTGCCACACAGAGCTTCCTTCATTCATCTTGTCCCTCTGCAGATACATCCGCCCACTTTGCTGGAGGAGCCTTTCCCTCTTGACTCGCACCTCTTCTTGTCCTCTGTACTCTTCCCTGGGCATTCTCTTCCTACCTCATTGTCAACACGATACACCCTGCGCGGAGCATCTGCAGCCTCTTCAGAGAGTTCCTTACACCAGAGACGTTGTCATCTAACTCCATCTAATACAGCAGCAGCATTGGCCTCACCCACCTGGCCCGTCTGTCGCCTTGTCTCAACATCATACACGTACGCTACCACCTCACCCGATATAGACGGCGGTTAGCCTCCGAGAGGCTAAGCTTGATACCGCTCGCCTCTTACCCGAGCCCGATTGGCCATTGACGTTGTGCTGTTGGCCGCGCTGTCTCCAAGAGGTTGCTTTTTCTCTCACTCAGCTTCTGAAAGTTCCGTGGTGTCAAGCAACTCTGCCGCGCCTGCATCCCCTGCTAGATTGGCCGCATATTGATCTTCATTTCCACTACCGCAAACATTGGACGCCTCTGAGATCCCGCTTGGCCTAGCTCAGATCCGGTCGACGGACGGATATCATTTTTATCGCCCTCGCTCCCGCTGCCAAATCTCTCTCCGCAAAGCCAACCCCACCGTCCGAGATCCAGCTTCACAGTCCCGGTGGACTTCGACATTCAACGCCAATATCGACCCCGTCTCGGCGTTCACTTTCAAGTCTTAATATACTACTACTGCTGCTGCACTCATCATTGTCGCGCCCCAACGGTCTGCGTGCTTCCTTCTCTACGCGCCACGGCAGCCAGCTACACCACCGAGACACAGGACGAGACCCTTTGCGACAGACCACCTGTTAGAAAACATCAATTGCTGCTTCATTGACCCACACCTTCTGAGAGAAGACTGAAAACGAGCACGTCAGAGGTGATCCAAGTATCCGTAAGTGTTGAGACCCTCCTTCCAGTCATTTCCCCGCCTCCCGCAAAGCCGCAATTCGCACCCAATGTCTATGCTCTGCGTTCCTGGCAAATGCCCCGGATCATTGCTTGCATAGCGCTGCGAGGGGGCACCAGGGGTGTGCCAGATGGCCGACAACAAGGTTGCGAGCCAGTGTGCCCCACGATGGTGAACTTCAAGAGTCCGAGGCAGATCCAGAATGTACGGATACAGGATTTCATGTACAAGACAGACACATGAAAAGTGTACAAAGAAAGGAAACGCGGCAGCAGCTTGCCTTATCTACTTTACGGACCGCATGTCGCCCTTTACTCATTAACACGCCTCTACTGCCACTGTCTGCATAACTATCCTCTTGCCATGCCACCCCAATTAGCCCCAATTCTTTTTCTTCATGTGCTATTTTTCCGGCGGTTGCGTGTCTGTTCATTGTCTGTGTCCGGCGTGGGCGCAGTGGGAATGGCTCAAGGTGGCTCGACATTTTTCCAGCTAACCAGGCCAAAAGCAGTTCATCTAGCTCCAGCGGGTATCCCTGATCCAGATCGACGTCGGCCAGAACTCTAACACCAATAAGGGAATCGGTCCCTGAGCCCAGAGTAGCCCTCCCCCCGACAAGCACGACAAGACAAGCCCCCCCCAGCACAAGAGAGGGCCTGGACATTTCGTGCGCAACCAGCTGCTCACGGCTCCAGAAGCAGACTGCTGATATTGTTCCCCGCAAGTCCAGAAAACCGCCCCCTATTAAACTTGCGTGGCAGACCCTCGACTTATCAACTTCTGGTCTCCCCTCCCTTCTGTCCCTGCTCCTACTGCTGTTCCCACTGCTGCTGTCGCCGCCGCTGCTGCAAATCGACGTCGTCCACCTCCGAATCTCTCTCTCTCGCCATCTCAGCATCGTTGGCCAAGCGAATAAGGACAACACGCCTGTCCACTCACCTGACGGATCCGGAAGCGAAGCACCCCCCGGCCACGGTGATCGTCGCAACAGGCCTGTGTCGCCACAGCACAGCTTGTAGCTGGCCAAAGTTCGAACCACCAGCTGGCCACTCGGAAGCTTCGCCTTGAACCGAGTTCAGTTCAATTCAGCACCGCCTGACCCCCCCCCCCCCCCCCCCCCCCCCCCCCCCCCCCCCCCCCCCCCCCCCCCCCCCCCCCCCCCCCCCCCCCCCCCCCCCCACACACCCCCCCCCGCCCCCCCCTCGTCCCCACCCCCCCCCCCCCCCCCCCCCCCCCCCCCCCAGCGAAACCCCACCAACCGCCATCTCACGAGCCCCTCGACCCAGCGGTCACCCATTCAGCCAAAATGGGCCTCTTTTCTCGCAAGGAAAAGGCCCCCAAAGCCTCGGGCAAGCCATCGATCAACACGTCAAACGTGAGCATCGCCTCTGGTGCTTCCAGCATCAAATCACCACCGCCACGCAGCACTACAATGAACAGGTCTTCCGGAACGAGCACGACGCCCGGCACGCCTTTGACGCCCTTCTCGCCTACCTCGATACCCAAGGTCGACATGCCGCGTCCTCCTGACCCGCAGCTTGACCCGGCAGGATACCTCAGAAGCTTGGGGGCGGTTAGAGAACGAAGCAAAATCGTCACGGACAAGGCGATCCGCAACGAATTGAAGCACTTTGACGTGGACATGCGCAAGTTCCCAGACGTTGTGACGTTCGTCTCTCAGATCATCAAGGTACGAGTCAGCCTTGGGGCGCTTGCAGGTGTTTGCGTGCCCTGGCACCGCCCACCAACACGCTATTTGGGTCAGCGAATAGCAGTATACTGACCTTGCAAACCCCTGTAGAGAGACTACGACGCCCCGTACAATTCGATTCCTAGCCACGGAAGACACCAGCACTTCTGTGTCGGCGGTCGTGACCGCATTGCACAGCTTCTTTCCACATTCCCCGAAGATGTCGACAACAGCGAAAAGTGTCGGCGCATGATCGACCTCTTCCTCGTGAGTGTGCTTCTCGACGCTGGCGCAGGCACAAAGTGGAGTTACAAGAGCACCGAGAACGGACGCATATACCGCCGGTCAGAAGGCATCGCCGTAGCCAGCTTGGAGATGTTCAAGAGTGTAAGTCTATTTCACGATTCTGGTGGACTCGTGCGTTCACTGACAGTCGTCAAGGGTCTTTTCTCCAGCGACAGCAGAAACAAGTTCCAGGTTGACAAGGAGGGACTGCGCAACCTGACCGTAGAGAGGGTATCTGCAGGCTTGCAGTCGAAACCGGGCAACGAAATGGCAGGCATTGAAGGCAGGACACAATTGCTCCAACGGCTAGCAAATGCCCTGACCGAAAAGAGGGAATACTTTGGCGATAGCGGACGGCCAGGTCACATGGTTGGTAAGTTTGACAACTCTCCGAGTCCGGTGGAAATGATGTGCCAGGACTGGACTGACCCGCCTCAGACTACCTCCTATCGCACCCCTCGACTCAAGCTTCTTCGATGCCCATTGTGATTCTCCCTACATTGTGGAATCTCCTGATGAATGGCCTCATGCCCATCTGGCCAGCTTCCCGCACCTCGATTAATGGCGTATCTCTCGGCGATGCCTGGCCTTGCCAATCAATGCCGCAACCACCGCAGAGTCCGACGACTTCACAATTCTCACCATTCCCGCCGTCTGCCCAGAACTCGACCGCGGCATGGGAGTCTATTCTGCCGTTCCACAAGCTTACACAGTGGCTCTGCTACAGTCTGATGCAGCCTATGCAGTCACTACTTCGCATCCATTTTGCTGGCGTTGAACTCCTCACCGGCCTGCCTGAGTACCGCAACGGCGGTTTGTTCATCGACTTGGGAGTTCTTACGCTAAAGGCAGGCGATTCCGAGAGAGGCCTCGAGCACTACGACGAGTACTGCAGAAGGACAAACGTCAAGCCAGTTGAAGTTGCACCAATGTTTGAGCCTAGCGACGACGTGATAGTCGAGTGGCGTGGTGTCACGGTCGGCTTCCTGGATAGGCTTTGCGCAGAAGTCAACAAGCACATGAAGAACGACCTGAAGGGCAATCAGTTGACTCTCGCGCAAATACTCGAAGCCGGAAGCTGGAAGGTAAGCTCGCCCGAACTGTTAGATTTTCGAACGTGTCGCTAATACAATCTTCCAGGGAGGTCGTGAGATGGCAGAGTTTAGCAGACCCAACACGAAAGAACCGCCAATTTTGATCGATAGCGACGGTACTGTTTTCTAGACTGTGGTTCATGTTTGAGATGGAAGCATTGGACCAAGACATTATACCTTTTCTGCCATTGATTAGACGACAGCGCCGCTATGCATTGGATGATGGGCGCTGAGGTTCGCCTTGCATGGCCACAGTGGATGAAGGGCGCATTGTATGATGGGGATCGGATGGCGGCTTATGCGCCTTAATGAACATGACTTGGCTGGACGCCAGCGAGGAAGATTAATGCAATGCGAAGACCTCGGCGTAAAGCCTTGCTCGCCATTCAACCGCTCATATGGATGAATTGCCTGCCGAGTGTGGAATGCTTGGTGAGAGAAGTGTTCCTTTTCACCGTCCCATGCTCAGACTTCCATTCGCGGTCCGGTTCTCGGCCCCGCGTCGGAGCCCCACAGGCGGACCCACACACTTTAGCTGCCTATTCTGCTCACGGGCCCGGCGCTGTGCCATTGTATCAACGTTTATCTATCAGTCATACCCGTCAGTTTTCACCGGAGTTTGACTGTCCAACTGCGCAAGGCACGGGGAGTTGACACGTGGGCATAGGAAAACTCTCTTCCAAGAGCGCCAAGGTAACTTATCATCCATGCCCTTGAAAGACCATCATTGACCCCGCGCAGGATCAAATTTGCATCTACGCCCGCCAGCACCGGGAATCTGCCCACCTGCATCTCCGTCGCCGAGCAGAAGGCATGGCAATCTTTCCGCAGTTCGGGCCGGATCCCGAGACTTCACTGCTTCAGCAATGCCAGTTCATCATCCACCGCATCACGGTTCTACTTGATGAGCTTGAGCAGCTGAAGGCCGCCATCGAGAGGCGGCCAGCTTCGGGGCATAAGCCTGTGGCGTGGAACCAGGCTGTTCCGGGGCTTGGGTTCTTTGAACGGCTTATCGTTTCTGAGAAGAAGCATCTTGAGAAGATGGTGGCGGCGTATGATGATGGTGGTGGCGAGGAGGAAGGAGTTGATACTGAGGCGCTGGATAGTCGGATCCGGTTAAGGCTCGATGCGTCGAATTACAAGTTTTATGAGACGGTGTGGGAGGTTACGAAGAGGTGTTGCGAGCTTACGGGGATGAGGAGGGACTTGAGCTACAAGACTGTTGGCGGGAAGAGCGTGAGCGCCGTGATTGATTTAGTCGTGAATGGCGGCGCGGACTGGGTCAAAGTCGTGACGACGACGGAGCGGAGGCTGTTTTACGAGATGGCGGACGCCGGATGGGATTGGGAGGAGGAGTTCGAGGACGAGGGCGCGGACGAGGCCATGTTGGAGATTTTGAGGGACGAGACGGAGGATAGTATCGAGGTCGCCAAGGTCGCGAGGCACATGGTTGCCGCGGCGAGGACGTCGTATCAGGATTATCGAAGGCCGAGGGTAAGGATACTCATGTCGAGGGTATCTGAGGGGGAGAATGACGCCGTGGATCATTTGTTGAGGTTGGTGCGGAAGATGGGCGGTGGGGACGTGGATCTTGTGGTTGAGACTGCGAATGGTCCTGGGATCTTGACGGAGGCGACACCGCCGTTGGAGAGGGCGATTGCGAATCTTGTGGAGGCAGATTATTACAAGGATTTCACGGCGACGGTGAATGTGGATTGTTCGGTGTTCATGGCGTTGGCGTCGGATTTCAGTCATATGGCTATTGGACCGGACTCGGAGCTGTTGAGATCGAAGCAGCATCGGATCGACGCGACGGATGAGGTGGAGAACGGGCCGCGGTTGGTGAATACGCTGTACCCTGCCATCACTGGCCGGACGCTGGTGTGTACGAGGGAGGCGGCGGATACGTTTCTCAAGATCGTGGGGGATATTGGGACGGAAGAGGAGAAGGCTAGGACGAGGATATTGTTTGAGAAGGGCGAGGTTGCCGTGGCAGAGGAGACAGATCGAGATCGCGCGCGGCGAGTGAGGTTGCTCCAGGAACTCTCTGTCTACCCTGTCCCCGAGGACCTACGCCTCCCCGTGCAGATCGTTGACTCTGTCTCATGGGATGATGCGCAGCGGATGGTAGCGGAGGGTCAACTCCCCGCCGTCGCGCTGGCCGTCGGGAAAAAGGGGTCCGGGCTGAACGCCATGAACGTTTCGTCGTTCCTGTACGGGTGGAAGGCGAAGCTGACGACGGTGACGTCTAACTGGGAGGCGGCCAAGAGGCTGAGGACCGTGATTGAGACGAACCGGGTGACGGGGACGGAGGTCGGGCCGCATATTTGGCGGATACCGTTTTCGAGAAAGTTGCTTGCGAAGCCCAAGGTGATGCCGCCTGGTGGTGGTGAGAAGAAGGACGGGGAGGGGTGGAGGTTGAAGACGAGGCAGGAGAGGAAGGTTGAGAAGGAGGCGAGTTTGCAGAGTTGGATCTCGAGTGAGGGGGCGGAGACGATTGCCAAGATGACGATAGATGATGGGAAATGAGGTTAATATTCTGTGGAATTCTTCACCCAGCATAACCGATCTCGGAAACAACTTCACCATCATCATTATTCAATCTAAGGGCCCCAAGACGACGCCGCAGTCGGGATACTTGATCCTCACCTCCGTGGTAAACACTTCTCCTACATCAACCTCACCAAACCTCGTCAACAGCACCTCCTCGCAGTGCCTAGTATGATGATAACTCCAAATATAACTATCAACCCTCTCCAACCCACCGCGACTCTGCATCAACGCGCGGTGCATCCGTCTCCACATGGCCGTACAATGCCGAAGATGGTATCCCAAGCTCACATATACGCCGCTATACTCCCCCGTCATAATCTGCTCCCTCGTCAACGACGGCGCCGTACGGTTCGCGTCCGTGAACCAGGCGAGTTGTCCCGCTTCCACGAGCTCCGCTTCAAAGGTTTCGGCGAGGGCGGCGTCGTGGCATTGCGGCGGGAGCCAGTTGAAGGATATGAGGTCGAATTCGCAGCCTGCGGCGCGGGCTTGGGCTGGTGTTGAGCCGCAGGGGGCGGTTTGGAGGTAGGTTACTGGGCGGGAGGAGGGGTCGTTGGGGGAGGCGAGGGTGTTGTCGTTTCTGTGGGAGGTGTTGGCGGTGCGGAGGCGGGTTGTGAGGATTATTGTTACCAGGGCTGAGAGGGCGGCGCCTAGAAGAAGGGTTGCTGCGAGGAGGAGGGCGAGACGAGCGTAGGTTGTTGTGATGCTTCGTCGGTTCGGCCGAGGCTGGTGATGTTCTTGGCGAGAGGGTTTGGTGTCGTGGGAGGAGAGGAGGGATTGCGATGCTTCTTCGGGGTCGTTGGATGTTGCTTCGAGGGACAGATTCACATCATCGTCGTCATCCTCGGCGTTTCGAGTCTTCTCCCAGGCTGATTGCCGTGGTATTGATGCGCTCCGATGCTCCATCGAGTTACATCCGCCAGTATCTACCATCTGTATCTGTCGTGTTGGTAATACGAAGAGTTGACAGCAGTGAAATCAGAGTGCGGCGGAAGTCAGCATTCATGTGCCATTCGCGACATCTCGGAGAAAGGATTCCTCGTGCATGGTGGCGGGGAACTGTTTGGTTGGTTGTGCTGATGACCTTCCCTTCTTGGTATACTCTCTGTAAGGACCGAATCCCCCAATAGGGAATTGAGGATTGCGTTAAACAATGAAACCAAGGCGCTTCCTTATGTTGCCTCATTCTCACGTCTTCTCATCTTCAATCAACGTTTCTTTCCTTCTTTTTCTGCTATAGGCTAGTAAGGCATTCCGTGTTGGTGAGTCTGCCTTACCCAGTGGTCATCATGCAGGCTAACCTGCATCTCACTCTTACCCTTGGCTTACCCCTGCTGCGCCTGGATGGCTGATTGGCAGGTATTGGATTGTGGCAGATACCAACAGACTGTCTATTGCTGCGTGGCTGTGGTCTTCACAGCCTGATGCGCGTTCATGCTCATCTTTTCTCCTCACACCTGCTCATCCCGTCCGCCTTCTCCGATTGCTCTCTCAACTACTTACTACATGCTTAGCGGAACAAAGACGAAAACTGATTCTTGATGTCTTCTTGGTGACAAGAGGACTCTCAGTCAATCATTCGCGATGGACGGCAAGCGTCGAGGGTCCGAGGACGGTGATTGTAGCCCATCTGCCATACCCAAGCGGCAACGAATGCTCCTCGGCAAATGGGACGGCGAGACTCGACGGCCAATAGATGATGTCCCGCCAGAGTATCACCGCTACACAATCGCCTGGATCTGCGCGTTGCCCACGGAGCTGGTAGCTGCAGAGGCTATGCTAGACGAGAAGCACGACACTCTCCCGTCTGGCGCTTTCTATGGCAACTCCTACACGATCGACACCAACACCTACACGCTGGGAAGTATTGAAGGCCATAATGTTATCATCGCATGCCTGCCAGCGGACCAATATGGTACCAACAATGCGGCGAACGTGGTGACCAACTTAGTTCGTACCTTTCCGTCAACTCGACTAGCATTGATGGTTGGCATTGGAGGTGGCGTCCCGAGCAGTGCTAGGGATATTCGACTGGGTGACGTTGTTGTTGGTACAAGAACGATGCAATACGACTTAGGAAAGATTGTCGCAGGTGCCGAGATTCAACGCACAGCAATTGCTAGGACTCTTCACCACTCCTTTGGCAAAGCCATCACAGTCTTGAGAGCGAAGCACGATCGAGTTCCCAGTCAAGTTCCCTCAATTCTCAAAGAAAGGTTCAAGACGCTCCCACATTACGGTCGTCCCACAGACGCTGATCGTCTCTTCCTCTCGAACTACAACCACCCGGAATCAGCAGCCACGTGTGACGACTGCGATCAAACCAAGCGAATGACTAGACGCACGCGATCGGACAACGATCTCGTCATTCACTATGGAGCGATTGCGTCCGGCAACCAAGTCATGAAGAATGCTACTGAGAGGGACATTGCTGCTCGTTCCCTTGACGTTATATGCTTCGAAATGGAGGCTGCTGGAATCATGGACACTGTTCCTTGCCTGCCAATCCGCGGAATCTGCGACTACGCGGATTCTCACAAGAATAAAGCCTGGCAGAGATACGCCGCAGCTGCGGCGGCA